TCCTTCCTTCCTTCCTTCCTTCCTTCAGCTGACATGCAAAACTAATCATATTTCAAAGTCTTAAACCACAGGGGCTGTTTTTCCCCAGTCTCCATGTCTGGGGCAAGGAAGGGGAGTATTTTATTTATTTATATTTATTTATTTATTTATTCAATTTTTATCCCGCCCTCCCCACCATAGGCAGGCTAAGGGCGGCTTAGTTAAAAACACATTAAAGCACAAACATAACAAGCATAGCTCACAATAAACTAGAATAAAATAAAAATAAAGTGCTGGTGACAATAACAACTCGGTGGCCATGACAGATGTTCCCAAAAACTTGAACTCCCCCCCCCCCATCAAGATGCCTTCCATGGGATTAAGTCTTCTCCAACATTGCCATTTGAGCGGCTTGCTTTTGCTGTGTGCCGAAGTATCTGCTCATGGAGATCTTTTCATTCACAGTCCAAAGGTACTGTGAATGTACACAAATCAAAGGTGTGCTGGCAGCCACTCTCTCTTTTTCCTTTGTATTACCTTATCCTTCGATATCCCCACCTTGTAGGAAACCCACCCACGCCCTATTTGTTTTTCTAAATAGAGCCCTAGTCAGCTGACCATTTCGGCAGGCAGCCAAATGCAGAATACGAGCGCACAAAGGACTCGAGTGAGTTACACCATCCCTGGGTTCAGGAACCGGAGGTTACAGTTAGCTGGGCTGCCATTGGCTTTCCAAATCAGGTCCAGCCAGAGCAATGCTGAATGCAAGAAGCGTCCTGGTGACTGGATCCAACCGGGGCATTGGCCTGGAGCTGATCCGGCAGCTGCTGGGGAACAGCAAGCGGCCAGAATGGATCTTTGCAACCTGCCGGGACCCAGAGGGACCACGTGCCCAGGTGAGCATCAAGGCAGAGTCAGCCCTACAGTGAAATGGGTGCCTGAACTAAAGGGTCCACTTGGTGCTACAAATGACATGTCTCAGTCAGGGGATGCCCAAGTGAACTGAGTGGCTGCTTGGAGCACCAATCCCTGAAGGTGGTAGATCAAGATGGGTTATAATTCCCTGTCTGCAAGTTACAATCGCTTTGTCTTTAAACCCATTGGATTTGGCGGGGCTTCTTTTGGGTAAACACCCTTAGGGTTATCCTGTTTTTTTCTCAGAAAAGAGTGCCCTGGGAAAACCGTTGGGGAGAATGTAATGTCCATGTATAAAGTTTTCATTTGAGTTACTGATCCTAAAGACAGAGCACACGGCCTCCTTCAGAGGCTAACCCAGAAGACCTCAGCACCAGCTCATGCTCTGTACCTCTGTGTCCTTGTATTGTTTTTTTCCTTCGTTTCATCATTTTGCTGCAGGGTGGGGCTGTTTGACTGCTGGTAGGATTCCTTTTGTCATTAACTATTATTGATTTTGATCCCAGTGGCAGCTTTAAGACCAACAAAGTCGTATTCAAGGTCTAAGCGTTTGTGTGCAAGCACACTTCTTCAGATATTTATTTTGTTTGCATGTATTTGATGCATTACTGTGGAGAGCAGTCTCAAGCAGTTTTTCTGGAGAGGCAGCATGAACGTCTCCAAAATAAACAGATAAAGTCTGCAATCCGGAAGACCCTATGGACTGCCTTGGGATTTGGGAGTTGATCAGTTTGGGATGACTGCCTAAGTCAGTGGGTCTGCTGGTAAGGTTTCGTTTGTGCAGGTTTTCCCTCCAGATTTGCTTCTAGAGGAAATGTTATTGCTCGATTGTGAACGGACTCCTTGAGCCAAGAAACTTCCTGCAGGGTAATCACAGCAGAGTGACTCAATTATGGAATTTGCTGTCGGAGGATGTAGTGATGGCCACAGGAATAAACAGCTTTAAAGGGCGATTAGATAGATTCATGGAGGATAGGTCTGTTGGTGGCCACTAGCCATGGTGACTGAGGGGAACCTCCACATTCAGAGGCACTCAGCCTCTGAATCCCAGAGCCAGGAGGCAATGTCAGGGGGAGGCCTCGGCCTCTGTGCCCTGTTGTTGGCCCTCCAGAGGAACTGGCTGGCCACTGTGTGAGACAGGATGCTGGACTAGATGGACCCCCATTGGTCTGATCCAGCAGGGCTCTTCTTATGTTCTTAATTTCTAGAGGCAGGATAGCGCTACAAACAACCTCTCTCGCCCCCACCCCAGGAAACCAGAAACCAGATAGGATTGAATCTTTTTCTGCCCTTCTTCCCTCTCTCATATCAAACAAACCAGGATACTGGGCTGTTTGATCATAAATCTCTGGCTTTGGTCTCTTTCAGGAGTTGAAGAAGTTGGCTGCTCAACATCATGAAGTGAAGATCATCCCCCTGGGTATGTGCCTGTGCCCTCTCCCCCTACTCTCTCTCTTTAAATGATGCAGCAAGAGCTGAGATTTTGGGTTGAGGAGGGGCGGGGCAGGGTGGGGTGGGGCCTTCCACATGTCTCTGCTGGCCACGTGTCTGCTGCTCAGCCACTCCCCCCTCGCACATTTATTTATTTATTTATTTATTTAATTGGATTTACATATCGCCCCCCCAATGGGCTCAACTTCAAGCAGAATTAAAATGGTGATTGTAGTTAGTATCACACTATACCTCACAAAATAGCCATCATTTCCCTTCCCCGTGGAAGTAAAATCAGTCCTGCAAAGATTCTGCTTCCCTCTGTAATTTTATTAATAATTCTTCTATGTTTTTGAAGCCTAATTTGTTATTTTCTTTTCACACGCAGTGTAAAATTCCAGAGCCGATCCTTAATTATCAGTTATTGTTTTCGGGTGATAGATTATTGCTTCAGATTTGCTTCCTTGCAGTCCCCTCTGCTTAATTAGTTACTTTCTTTTCAATTGTGGTTCCCATGGCAGTGCTAAACTGATCCTTAGTTATCATGCAGGGTCACCAACGTCCAGGTGGTGGCTGGAGATCTTCCACTATTACAACTGATCTCCAGGTGACCAGGGGTCATTTCCTGCAGGAGCGCACAGGAGCGGAGCTCCGGCAGTAAAGAGCCCAGGGGGCGGGCACATGCAACAAGCCCCACCCCCTGCCCCCAGCAGCCCTCAGTCAGAGCAAGAAGCAGCCAGGTAAGTTGCAGAGCTCCCCCCGGCCCAAAACAGTCGAGTGGCACCGCGAAGCCCAAGTTTTATTCAGGCAGACAGATCTGCACGTTCCCCCCCCCCCCCCATAGCTAGCAATCCAAAAGAGTCCAGTGGAGACTGAGCAGTGGGTGTTGCCTTCTGACACACTTCGGGTAATGTCGGGGTGTGGCATATGCAAATAAGTTATGCTAATGAGTTATGCTAATGAGCTCCTGCACCTCTTTTTCTGCGAAATGATCCCTGCAGGTGACAGATAGGCCAACACTGCAATTATGGTTTTTGGGTTTTTTGTTTTTTTTTAAAGCTAGCTCCAGACTGGATTGCTTCCATGCTAATCTGTAAAAGACAGCATTCATTTATTACAGTGTTTCCCTTGTTCTTCTCTGGTACATTTCCAGACCCTCTGCTCTGCCACTGAGTTATAGATCTCAGGTTCATACACCAGCTGGCTCTGAATGACTACAGGAGGTTGCAAAGAAAGGATGTCTTAAATTGTGCACATTTGGAGGTCACAGGTCAAGCTCTGCTCGGTTCATACACACGGTGTCCCCAAATGAGTGCATCCTGGTTAGAACTTCTACAGCAATCCCAGCTACTCCTGAGGGACCACTAAGGTATTGTGTGCCCTGTCCTGGATAGCCCAGGCTAGGCCGATCCCATCAGCTCTTGGAAACTAAGCAGGGCTGATGCTGGTTAGCTCTTGGATGGGAGACCCCCTAAGGAAGTCCAGGGTCCCTTGGAGTCAAAAGAACAGCAAGATAAGAAAGGAAGGAAGCCCAGGGTAGCTACGCAGAGGCAGGCAATGGCAAACCACCTCTGCTCGCCTCTTGCCTTGAAAGGCTTATTGCAGTGGTCCCCATCCTTCCTGACTCTGTGGGCACCTTTGGAATTCTGACACGGGGTGGTGGGCACAACTACAAAATAGCTGCCACAGGAGGCTGTGCCACACACAAAGAGGAAGCCCAAGTGCAGGGGAGAAGAGGGTTGAGAGAGAAGAAAACAAAACACTATGGTGGCAATGTAACAAATGTTATTTTAATCTGCATAGCCAGCCAGATCTTCAGTGGCAAATCAGAAGCACTGCTTGGCAAGAGCCCCACCCACTTTCTAAAAAGACTTTGTGGGCACCAAGAAGGGTATCAGCAGATGCCATGATGCCCACGGGCATCATGTTGGGCACCCCTGGCATACAGGGTCATCGCAAGTCAATTAGTATGCCTAGGTTCCCAGCTTTTTGTTATGCGTGGCACGAATTGTGACTACGCAAACGTCATGGACACCAATTGAGTTGAGTTTGTGATGAAATGTCTTGCAAAAAGGCAAGGCGCTCTTTCCTCTGCTCAGCTGTAGTCCATTTGTTGCTCAGCCCTGCAGTGACACCTTGTGGCACGGGTTCCACTTCCTCGTGAGGAAAATTAAACTTCTCAAGGGAGTTTTTTAAAAATGGAAAGGAGGAGTTGAGCACCTCTCACAAATCAATAGCATGGTAGAGGGGCAACACCATGTCATTGCTGAAGTGAGGATAAAGCCATTTTGTGAAATGGCTAAAATGCAGTTTAGAAACACTTGGAATGACCGTGCAAAAAGACAGTGGGTCTTCTCGGGTCTTCTTGCCACAAGGACACTTCTTTGATGACTTTATGAAGAAACTGATGGAAAATTTACAATTGTTGTAGTGATTAATTGTTATTAATGTTTTTATTGCTTTTACCTTGTTTTATATGGGCTTTGCCCCTTGTAAGCCGCCCTGAGCCCGCTTTGCGGGGAGGGCGGGGTAAAAATCCCAATAAATAAATAAAATAAATAATAAACAAGCAGAAGAATTGTTAGCCAAATTGCCTTGATTTATTATTAAATATGGGGAATTTGAGTCTTAAAATGGCAATAGGCGTATAAGGGAACAATAATCTATTTATACAGGAGTCCCGCTTATTGCAGTAATCCCAGAAATAGACGTAGAGACCAGATCTTAGTGAAATGGTTTCTTTACTGGGGAATATGCACACATACAAATAAACACAATCACACACTCAATCAATACAGGACTAGGAAAAACAGACTGAAAGGGTACAGAGACATTCACATTAATCAATACAGGACTAGGAAAAACAGACTGAAAGGGTACAGAGACATTCGCATTAACAGGAGTTCGTTGGTTGGGCAATACTGACCTGTCCTGACGTGATGAAGCAATCCTTACAGTGGAAAAAATAGGGGAGTCTATTAGGGAATGATATTGTGTTCTGAACCAGCGGAGCACGGGAGGAGACTCTGGGCAGCGCTAAACCAAGAGTCAGCAAGATAGGATGAGGTCAGGTAGAGACGTAGTGAGAGAGAACATGGCAGATCCTGCTCTTTTTATACATTACGAACATAAGAGAAGCCAATGTTGGACCAGGCCAATGGCCCATCCAGTCCAACACTCTGTGTCACATAGTGGCCAAAAATACCAGGTGCTATCAGGAGGTCCAGCAGTGGGGCCATTTGGACTATCTGGACTTGTGGGTGGGCTTCACTGGCCATTTCCATCCTCACATCCCCAGGAAGTTGCTTAAGCAAAAACTGGTTTCAGGAGGATGGGGGCTTAATGATTCCATTACTACTGACAATGGAGCCTTTAGAAGACAATAGCAGAAGCAGTAAGGATCGTTAGTGTTGATGGCCCAATGATTGCTCTGGGTGATGGGCTCCAGAGGTATGACATGTCAGCCAGCTAATCCCTTTATGCAAGCAGTTCTTTTGTTATGCTGGGCAGCATATGTGCAGTATCTGGCAAAGGTGGTGGGGGGGGGAGATGTGCCTGGTGCTGACAGAGGTTTCTGTTCATGGAGCCTTTGTAGAGATGTTCAGGCTTCCATTGCATGGCATGGCGTTCCTCTACAGCATGCTTTTACTGGCTTCTGTGTGCTGTCTGCAGCCAGAGTGCTTGGCTCATCTCTGCTGCGTTGCAGGTGAGAGGTGGCAGGTAACCCATGAATCCATCCTTGGTCTGGCACATCGTCTCAGGAGGAGGCTTCCCTCAGCTGGGCGCATATTCACAGTCCCAGTAGTTGGCATCAGCTTGTGGTCACCATGCAGTCCATTTCTCTGGCACAGTCCAGTTATTAGCCATGGCTCATAAGTCCATAGGAGCATTATAAGCTCCTTGCAGGGCAACAGAATCATTCTGCTGAATTAGTAAGAGGTGTGTCAGTAATAACTTTTTTTCATGCAAGTCATATCGCAACCGACTTATGGTGACCCCAGAAAGGGGCTTTCAGGTGAAGGGAGAAAGAGAGGTTGTTTGCCATTGCCTTCCTCTGCAGAGTCATCCTTGATGATCTCCCATACAAAGTGACCCTGTTCAGCGTCCAGGATCTGGTGAGACTGGGCTATACCATGCCACCTTCCCTCCAAACAATTGATAGGTAAAGGTAAAGGTTTCCCTTGCTTGAAAGCCAGTCGAATCTATCTCTAGGGGGTGGTGCTCATCTCCGTTTCCAAGCCGAAGAACCAGCATTGTCCAAAGACTTCTCTGTGGTCATGTGGCCAAGGCGCACGGAACGCTGTTACCTTCCCACCAAAGCGGTACCTATTTATCTACTTGCAATTTCTTGCTTTCGAACTGCTACGTTGGCAGGAGCTGGGGCCAGAGATGGGAGCTCACTCCGTCATGCGGCACTCGGGTCCCGAACTACCGAGCTACTGACCTTCCGGTCTGCCGCTCAGCGTCTGTAGGATAAAAGGAAGCTGGGGGGAACATACAAGCTGCTTCTGTGCTGGGAAGTACTGTCAAGTTGCAGCTGACGTATGGCATCCCTGCTGGGTTTTTAGGGCAAGAGATGAGCAGAGGTGGTTTGACATGGCCTGCCTCTGCATAACGACCCTGGGCTTCCTTGGTGGCCTCCCATCCAAGTACCAACCCAGGCTGATCCTACTTCCAATATCTGGGGTGAGACCAGGAAGAAGCCAGCTGTGGTGGGGAGGAAGAGCCTCCTCAGCCAGCCAACCAGCATGCGCTGGAAGGAGGCGGAACAGGAAGATACACTCACAGGTGCTGAGGAGACTGACCTGCCTCCCAAGGGTGACTCTTTTTCAGGGGAGGGAAGGAAGTGCCCATGGAGCACGTGTCATCTGGACGGCTGCTTTTAAAAGCGGGTGGGAAGAGGCCAATGAGACATGTGGGTGGCTTTTTACTAAATCCTGGGAGATTTAGGTGACATAGAACTCCTTTCCCTCTCACTTCCAAGGACAAGGGAGGATGCGGGGACACCCTGTGGGCAGAAAGGGGCAAGGGCGCACAACCGTATACTGCAGCAAAACAAAGCAGAAGTCCAGTAGTACACAGACTAACAGTATGTATTCCAGCATGAGTTTTCATGTGTCAGAGCTCACTTCCTCAGATGCAATGGAAGAAAGGAAATCCTTTCCCTCATTTTGACGTAAAAAATTACAGGGATAAAGAGAGGAAGATGAGCAAACAGGGGCCTGATATCGTAAATCAGGTGTGGCTCTCGAGGTGAAAGAACAGCGTTTTTCTGGAAGGGCAGGAATGTAGACCAAGTCCCCCAAATCCTAGCCCAACATTGTGACCACTATATTACATTGACTACAGCGCACAGGCCCACAGGGATAGAACCTGGCTGGGATGCTTCATCTTTAATGACCTTTCAAACCTTCTGTTTGCTGCTGCAGAGATTACAGACTCATCCAGCATCCAGGCTGCTGTAACCAAAGTCACAGATCTTCTGCAAGGAGCCGGGCTGAATCTCCTCATCAACAATGCTGGGATGGCAAAGAGTAGAACTATGGAATCGGAGACGGCAGAGGACATGGCCGAGGTGTACAGAAACAATGTGATAGGGCCCATGATGGTGACCCAGGTAAGGATGGCCCCATCTTCACAGAAACGTCTTGCGTTTTGCCACCAAGGTTCCTATTGGTGACCACTTGAGGTTTCAGGATCCTAGTCCTTATTGTCTCTGAGAGCCAAGCTCTGGTATAAGTCGCTTGCGCCTAGTGGCGGTTAGCGGACATAACAGCTGCCCTTAACACCAGCAGTCTTTGGTGGCTTGATTATGGGATCACAAACAGCTCTTTATTGTGCAGACAAAAGTGTTCTGTGTAACCACTGCCTGGGAAACAGAAATTCCAGTCATGTGCAGCTTTTCATTTTGGGATGGGGACATGATCTAGGGTTGCCAACTTCCAGGTGTAGCTGGAGATCTCCCAAAATTACAACTGATCTGCAGGAGACAGAGATCAGTTCCCCTGGAGAAAATGGGAGCTTGGGAAGGTGTACTCTCAATGGCATTATACCCCAGGGAGGTCTCTCCCTCCCCAAACCCTGCCCTCCCTCCCCAAACCCTGCCCTCCCCAGGCTCTCTCCCCTCCCAAAGAAGATCTCAAGGAATTTCCCAACCCAGAGCTGGCAATCCCAGGGACATTTGCTCCATCTGTTGAGCCAAGATTGCAAATGCCTCGCCCTGGAGACTTACGAAAGCTGTGATTTCAGAGGAGCTGGTGGATTGTGGCAATCAATCATCAATAATGTTATAAGTGTTGGAAGAGAAGGTGCTGTCCCTTGCCTCAGCCTCCAGGAGAAGTGACAAGAGAGTTAGAAGAGATAGATAGGCAAACACTGAGCTTTCTCCCTGTTTACTCTTTTGTACTATCCCTTTGATATGTAGACTAATAGTTCGGGGGGGGGCAGCTTCCCTCTATTCTGCCCTCTCACATCCTTCTTGCGCGCACACACAAAAACGGGAGCACGTTTCTCCATCTTTGCCACAATGGATGTCAGATGCTCCTCAGGATCCTCATCCATCCAAGGTAGTTAGATCAGACTATATCCCTATCGCTAAGCTTCGCTATCTAGAATGTAGTTCCTAAATAAAAGGACTATTATTAATCCTGAAACTGACAAGTAGCTCTGTGTAACCTTTGTAACTCTGCCAGCACACTGAGAACAAAGAGCTTCTGTTGCGTGTAGCCAAGGTGCGCTCGGCTAACTTGAGACGGGATATTGGATCCACTATACCAGTTACTCCCAACAATAATCATATGGCGATCTAGCTGTTACTGGATTTTTTTAAGCCCAGGGGGGGAAATGAGTGGGGTGGCAGGGTGATAGTGCAGGATGAATGGCTGCTGACAGAGAAAACTGCACACACACTTCCCATGTGGAGGCTCTCTTGCCCAGGGCTTTTTTTGTAGAAAAAGCCCAGCAGGAACTCATTAGCATAATAGGCCACACCCAACAGCAAAACTCATTAGCATATTAGGCCACACCCCTGACAGCACCGCTCATTAGCACATTAGGCCACACCCCCATGTTACCAGAGGTGTGGTCATCCAGCCACACCCACCTTTCCCTTCTTATTCTGTTTACCTTGTTTGTTGTCAAAACCCAGGGCTTTTTTTGTAGCAGGAACTCCTTTGCATGTTAGGCCACACACCCCTAATGTAGCCAATCCTAATGAGTTTCTGCTGTTGGGTGTGGCCTATTATGCTAATGAGTTCCTGCTGGGCATGGCCAACTCAGGTGCCAGCCGGAACTCCGTTCCTGTGCGTTCCTGCCCCAAAATAGCCCTGCTCTTGCCAGTGAGAATGCCTTTGTATTCATGGTTGCGATGACAGGGAGAATCCAAGGGAGGGAATCAGATTACTATTGTGTGTGGTAGAAATGTACTAAAGCAGGGGTATCCAAACTTTGTTTAGCTTGCGGGCACCTTTGAAATCCTGACGCAGTGTGATGGGCACACTCACAAAATGTCTGTCTCAGGAAGGAGGCAGAGCCAACCATAAAATGGCTGCTGCAGGCGGAAGACTCAAACACAAAATCGTATGGAGTGAGGTTGTGCATAACTCGAATAGCATGAGTCCAGTGGCACCTTTAAGACCAACAAAGTTTAATTCAAGGTATTAGCTTTCGTGTGCAAGCGCACGTCTTCAGATACTTCGGACGCACGCACACAAAAGCTTATACCCAGAATTAAACTTTGTTGGTCTTAAAGGTGCCCCTGGACTCAAACTTTGTTCTGCTGCTTCAGAGCAACACGGCAACCCCACCTGGATCTATCTTAAATAGTATGATGACTCTTCAACCTTTCAGGCAGAATCCCTGTTTAACAGGATGCCTTTTAATCTGCGCAACCCATCAGTTCTCCAGTGGCCAATCAGAAGTCCTGCTGGGCAAAAGCCCCGCTTGGTGGGCACTGGGAAAGTGGGTGGGCACTTTGGCACCCATGGGCGCCATGTTGGAGACCCCTGATCTAGGGTTGCCAGCCTCCAGGTGGGGCCTGGGGATCTCCCGCTTTTACAAGTGATCTCCAGCTGACAGAGATCAGTTCCCCTGGAGAAAATGGCTGCTTTGAAGGGTGGACTCCATGGCATTGTACCATGCCTAGGCCCCTCCCCTCCCTAAACTCTGCCCTCTCCTGGCTCCACCCCCAAAGTCTCCAGGTATTTCCCAACCCAGACCTGGCAACCCTACCCTGATCTAAACCTTGAAAACTGATTATAATAAACTCTATATTGGAAATGTTAGCTATTCAGCATCCCTTTATACTGGAACTGTTTCCACTTATTTGTACTGGAACGGTTCTAAGGAGAAATCAGGAAATAATATTCTGTATGATGGTGGCTGCAAGACTTCTTTTTGCCCAGCATTGGAAAGAACAGAACTGTCCTAAAGAAATAGCTTGGTTGAGGAAGGTGTGGGGATCTGGTTCAATTAGTCACATTCACAGCTTGCTGTAGATGGGAAGGCATGAGAAAAGTGGGCAGATGTTGTCCTTCCGTATTCCAACAGATGGAATCTGAAATGGGAAACAGGCAGTCTGTTTACGGTATCTTTGGTATATATTATACAGGTCTGTAAAAATGTACACATTTCTATGTGTTTTGCCATTTAGAAAACAGAGAAAAACTGAAACAGGGAGTGACTGTGAAACAAAACAGAAATTGTAGCAGCCCACTTTCCTGCAGATGGTGGCACTGCTCTCCTTGATTCTTCCCTCTCCTTCTCCAGGCATTATTCCTGCCCTTGCTGAGGAAGGCATCCCGGGAAAGCCGCCAGAAAGGGATGAGCTGCAGCAAAGCTGCCATCATCAACGTGTCCAGCGAAGGCGGCTCCATCACCAACATCCTCATATTTGACCTTATGCCGTGCGTTAGTTACCGCTGTAGCAAGGTAGGGACTTGCCAGCAGTGCCAAAGAGGCGGGGCCGACTCTTTTATCATGGTTAAAAATTAAGAATACAGAAGTTACCAAACACACGTTCCACCCCAGTCCTTTGCTCCTTGATGCTAACATCAACATCTGTTTAATTTCTCTGTTGTATTTTCTATTGTCAAGATTTAAAGTGTAATCTCCCTTGGAGAAGGGATGCTGGTCTTCCCCCTCCTCCCTTATGCAATTGCTAAGGCCTATATCCTTTTTTGATGGTACAATATATAAGGATGAGAAATGTTTAAAAGCAAGCTCATACTCGTTGCAAAGAAAAGCTGTGTTCAGAGCTGCTGCAAGTAAAATACATACAATCTACACCTAAGGAGAACATGAAAGAATGTTACTTAGATCCTTTTGAAATAGGCTTGCCAGCAACCAGGGGAGACCGAGGGGGCGCAAAGACTTATGTTTTCAGTATCATGCAGAAGGAGGAGGAGGAGAAAATTATTGGATTTATACCCCGCCCATCACTCGGAGTCTCAGAGCGGCTTACAAACTCCTTTCCCTTCCCCTCCCCACAACAGACACCCTGTGAGGTAGGTGGGGCTGAGAGAGCTCTGAGAGAACTGTCCTTGAGAGAACAGCCCTGACAGAACTATGGCTTGCCCAAGGTCATCCAGCAGCTGCAAGTGGAGGAGTTGGGAATCAAACCCAGTTCTCCCAGATTAGAGTCTGCACACTTAACTACACCAGACTGCTGATGACATGACATCACTTACGGAGCAACCTGGAACTGATATCATTACACTGGGAAACCAGAATTCTGTGGTTTAACTAGTTCTCCCTATTAAACAACCTTAATATTTCTAAAACCTCAAATCAAACGCCTCCTAGAACAGTGGTACTCAGTGGCTCAGGAGCCACATGTGGCTCTCTGACATGTCACTTCTGATTGTGATTCTTCTGATCACTGTTACCAGTGTGACAGCTGCAAATGTTTCAGGGAAGTGGGCAATGCCTTTACCTGATGGGGGTGATGGTTGGCAGGTAGTTTCCCACTTGAAACAGCCAGTGCTGGAGGAATGGGTAACCTGTGAACCTTTCTGGGCATTGCCAGCAATGGAAGTAAATGGGATTGATCAGGGGTCTTGTTGTAGAAAAAGAGCTGCCGGAGCTCATTAGCATAACTCATTAGCATAACTTATTTGCATATGCCACGCCCCCTGACATCACCGGAAGTGACAGAAGGCCACACCCCCTGACATCACCGGAAGTGTGTCAGAAGGCCCGGCTACTTACCCTCCTGCTTCATCCTCATTCCCAAACGGAATGAGGATCGAAGCAGAGGGCGGGGTAAAGAAGGGGGCGGGGCTTCACCACGTGACCGCCCCGCCCCCTAGAGGTTCTCTTCCGGAGCTCCGTACCTGAGAGCTCCCCCCCGACTAGAGCCCTGGGATTGATAGTCATGGTGAATGTGTCTCTCTAGGTGCCCTGGAGTGACTGCAGGCTTTTCCGCACTCTTGACTTACACCTGATTTTCTTGGCAGTCGATCAGCAAGCATTGGAATCGGTTTGGGCACAGTCTTTCTGCAGATCTGCTCTACCTCTGCATTTTCGTAGTTGTGGAGTCAGTTTATTTTGTTTAACACATGCCTTCAATAATGAGGAATATCAAGGGAGGGTGATGTCATCATCAGTGGTATCGTCAGTGATGTCACAGTAACCCCCTCTTTGAAAAAAACACAGCAATATAATATTGTTATATCACTGGAATGTTGTAATAATAAGCTTAGCAGATTCTCTGAATTCCCAGCTTTCATTTTTTTAAAAAAGGTAAGCCTCAGTCCCTTTTCCTCTTGGAACTATAAGGAAAAAAACATATATCTGAAAGGGAAGGTGCTAAACACTTACTTTTTAAAATGAAAGCTGGGAATTCAGATAGCCTGCTATGCCTATCATTGCAACAGGATATTAATATATCAATATAAGAGTTGTCTTTTTAAAAAACTAAACTACAACACTACAGAGATATATCGAGATTTAGTGCCATTTAAAAAGAAAAAAGGAAAATTACTTGCCTTCAGGGTGGAGGGGGGAGTAGTTTGACCATGACAGACTTACCAACAAAAACATACACGAGGAAAATGCTGACTCAAAATTGGCTTTCAGAAAAACATTGGGGCCTCAAAAGAACCGGACCCCCCCAAACCCCGGGGTGGGGAAGGAACCTAAAGTGAAAGCTTAAAGGCATAAAAATGTATGTAGAAATCTGGGGAGAAACCAAAGCACTCTGGGGGCAGAACCAATTTGGGCAAGCCATAGTTCTGACAAGAGCTGTCCTTGAAAGGGCGGTTCTTGAAAGAGCTCTCTCAGCCTCAAAATAACTGGGAAACCCCCTGGGACAGGACCTAAGTGAAACCTTAAAGGCACAACAATGTATGCAGAAAACTGGGGAAAAACCGAAACAATGTATGCAGAAAACTGGGGGCAGAACCGAGTGGAAAAACCCATGCAGAAAGCCCTACCACTGTTCTAGAGCAACAAAACCTGCCTTTGACCTGTTGCCTCCTCATGGAACTGAATGCTTCTTCTCCCCAGTTTCTGGCGGCATGTCTCTCTCTCTCTCTCTCTCTCTCGTAGGCGGCTCTGAACATGCTCACTCGGTGCCAGTCGCTGGGATATGCGGAAGACGAGATCCTGTGCATTGCATTGCATCCCGGATGGGTGCAGACGGACATGGGAGGTTCAATGGTAGGTGATTCCTGGGTGAATTTCATCAGCGCACATCCCAGATTGATTTTTTAATTTTTTTTTACACTTTATTAGTGTTTAACAAACATCAATACATACATAGCACGATAATAGCAAACAATGAGATACATGTTGTAAGCAATAACATGAAAGTAGAGGAGTAATTTTCTGTTTAATTAAGAAATAACAACTGTAAGCGTTAACAAGCAGAATATAACAACCAAGAACAGTATCATCATTCCCAAAGATGTATCATAGGCCCAGGTCAACAATCATTTGGGGAATATTCAAGTATGGGTAACCAAATCGTGGAGAAGGTAGAGTGCATAGAAGGCTAAGAAAGACGTCAAATTGTCTGTGATTTTTGCCATGATATACAGATTCCATATGTTTTGGTGCCATTGTGTAAGAGTAGGAGATTTTGGAGACTTCCGATTCAATGCAATAGTATTCTGAGCAGCATATAGTAGTAAAGAAACTCCTTCTCTGATGGAATAGGAGCTGTTATAGGCATCCTAGACTGATTTCAATATTTTAGGTTTACATCTAAATAAGGCTCCGATGGTTTATTAACTTTTGGTATTTCAAAGATACTTCAGACATCCTCACTAACTAAAAACCTAAGAATCGCGTCCTTGAACCAGGCCAAAAATGATCTCTAGTCCCACACTAGAGCCAGAATCCAACGTCGTGTCAGAGTTGCTTTCAATTTTTTCTGAACTCTGTGCTGGATTATGACTGGAATTTCAGCAGTTGCCAACTCTGGATTTGGACATTCTTGGAGATCTGGGGGCGGAGCCTGGGGAAGGCAGGGTTTGGGGAGGGGAGGGGCCTAAGCCGGGTGCAATGCAAAGGAGTCCTCCCTCCAAAGCAGCCGTTCTCTCCAGGGGAAGTAATCTATGGCATCTGGAGACGAGCTATAATTCTGGAAAATCTCCGGGCCCCACCTGGAGGTTGGCAACCCTAGTTCAGGATTGTCCTGTTACATTTCTTACCAGCATTCACTCACCTGCCCCCCCCCCCAGCAGAAGATGGGAGGCTCCTTTCCTAGTAATACTCTGTACTGGACTGTACCAGCTTACTTTTATCCCTGACCACTGGTCCCTCTTACTAATTTATCATTAATTAATGCACAGCACAAGTCTGCATGAACTCTCTCTTTTCAAATGGGCAGGCCACTATGCCTGTGGATGCAAGCGCAAGAGCCATCCTGAACACCCTCGGTCGTCTCACTGAGAAAGACAACGGCACTTTTGTGAACTGGGAGGGGGCAGGCGTGCCTTGGTGAGAGACGGATCCTGCAAGGAAAAGAGCCCTCTTCGTTTGCTTCCTACCTGGAGGAGGTGTGGCTGCAGGAGGCAAACCACTCAATCGGTTCCTTCGTCTTTTCCCATCCTGTTCTTGTAATTTAAAACTAATGATTGACAGTCCATTTAACAGCACTACCTATTAAGAGGTTAGACTTTGTCCTTGCATTTCTACTGAGTTTGGTGTAGTGGTTAAGTGTGGTCTCACTGAGAAAGACAACGGCACTTTTGTGAACTGGGAGGGGGCAGGCGTGCCTTGGTGAGAGACGGATCCTGCAAGGAAAAGAGCCCTCTTCGTTTGCTTCCTACCTGGAGGAGGTGTGGCTGCAGGAGGCAAACCACTCGATTGGTTCCTTCGTCTTTTCCCATCCTGTTCTTGTAATTTAAAACTAATGATTGATAGTCTGTTTAACAGCACTACCTATTAAGAGGTAAGACTTTGTCCTTGCATTTCTACTGAGTTGGACACCTGGTCTGATTTACAACAACTCAATTTTTTATTGGCAAAAAGGCAGGTTGGTCATGGAAAAGGCAGCTTCTTTGGTACCAGCAGCTGAAAGAGTGATGTTCTTACTAACAGCTGTGGGATGGATTGTTCTAAGGAGACTTGGCTCTTTCTCATCTTTCTGTCATTATATTTTTATGTTTGATTATGCTATGCACATGGGTTTTGTTGCCACTGTACTTGTGAATGTTTATGTTGAAGACAATAAATCCATTAATTACTCAAGCTGATACAAAGAGTGAAGTCCTGTAACTCCTTAAAGATTAATACATTTATTTGGGCTGTATTTGAGTCCAGTAGCATATTACATTTATTAAGGCAGAAGTTTTTGTCCGCAAGCCTCCTTTAGAAATAGCAAATGCTGTAGCTCGTGTACTCATTTGTTAGCTATGAATAAAGACTAGACACAGCAGGAAAGCACATGCTCGCATGAGTCCCTGGCATCTCCAATGAAAATGGATCTTAGGTACCAGATCTTGGGGAAAATCTTATTTGTATCCAACTGCCAATATAAGTAAACAATAGTGAGAGAGATTGATTTTTTCTTTGGTGTAGTAGTTACAAGGGCCAGTTTGGTGCAGTGGTTAAGAGTGGCAGACTCTAATCTGGAGAACTGGGTTTGATTCCCCACTCCTTCACATGCAACCAGTTGGGTGACCTTGGGTCAGTTTCAGTTCTCTCAGAGCTGTTCTCTCAATAGGAGATCTGGAATGAGCTCCCTCAGCCCCACCTACCTCACAGGGAGAGGAAGGGAAAGGAGACTGTAAGACACTCTGAGACTCTAGAGCGGGGTATAAAACCCAACTCTTCTCCTTCCTGGACAGCTCCACCCCACCCACCCCCAAGATTATCAACCCCACCGAGACTGTCAATAAGAGAAGCTTCATTTGGTTGAGTGTTTGATTCTTATTCCAAGGCTGGACAGTCACAGCATGAATTTACCTGAAAGATCTCCCTTTCTGGTTCCACTGGTGTATCCTATGTCAAGCCTGAGTTTTACAAATCTCACTGTTTTTACTGAAGATCAATAAACAGTTATTTCTTGCCCATCTGTACATACATGCAAGAGAGGGGAATCAGCAAAAACAGAAAAGTATTTCCTTCCTGTGCTTTTTCTGTGCAGGGAAAAGTGTTGGGTGGGAAGGCAGGAAACCTTTCTCCTCCCACAGGGGATTCTGAGCCTGTTTGGACTGCCATTTTTTTAAAAAAATTCCCCATGGTTACTGTGTAGCCATGGGAACCCGGGTTGGGTCCAAGGAACCTTTGTGGCAGAGGAAGTGTACCTCTGCTGGGTGTGGGAGTGGGGCAACGTCATGGGAAGAATGTTGCCCATGGCAAGCTTGCGAGCTTCCCAGAAGCATGGGGTTGACCACACGAGGCAATTTTATTTGCACTCTTAGGACCTAAACTGGAAGGTACATATTATTTCCAGTATATACAACTGCTTCTGACGCAAGGCCGGATATATTTGTGGCCCCAAATAGAAACCTTTTGGTGTGTCATTCAATTCCATATTGGAACATTCCAAGTTTGGTCCTATGTTATTTATTGTTTATTGCCTTACATGTGTGACAAGGACTCTGTCGCTTGGTGTATTTTGTTCTATTTGACCTCTGAAGAAGGCTCGTGAGCTGAAACGCGTCAGGTCATACATTGTCCTTTTTTGTGTATTTGTAACTTTGAACATTTTATGAAGCTTTATTTGGGCCCCTACAAGGTTTTTATATGTTTTTTAAATAAACAGTCTTTTGTATATTTATGTTTTTTAACTTTTGGCCCTCAATAAGTTTTCTAAACTTCCTTTGGAGGTTTGTGCTTTGTTGGTTTAGATTTCCCCCTCTCTCTTTTGGGTTGACCACAGTAGGACCACTGGAATAGACAGACTTTTAGTCTGATCTATCAGGGAGCTTCTAATGTTCTTGTGTTCTAAACTGTGTTTTAGAATGAAAGCCATTTGTACCAAATCCTCACAGGATCAGGATAGTTAACAATAGCAAAAGTAAAATTTAAACCTCTGATTTTTTAAAAATGTCCATACCTACTTCACTAGCCACAGTTAAACGATAGAGACCAACAGTCTACCAAGTGTAGAGATGTTCTTACAGAAGATTCACCCAACATGGAGGTCTTTCTCCAACCCTTTCTCCAATAATCAGAACAGGAAGTCTCACCTATAACAAATACTCCATTCCTCCTCCCTTTCCCCTTTCTCCACTTGCGGGCAAAATGAAAGTGAGGAATCTGCAGGGACTGTTTTCCCCTTCAAGACATTGTCTGTACAGAGCCTACCACACTTCAAACATCCCCCATAAGCATTGGGTTCTTGGATTTATTTGCATTTGAGGCACATGGAGTAAGCATGTTCCTTCTCTGGAGATGCATAAGAGAGGGAAGTGAGGAAAATTGCACTAAATATTAACCTGTGCAAGCTGGAACATCACAGAGGGTCAAAGGAGAGTGCCGAAACCTTTGACCGTCCAAATGACACCCAGGCCACTCTCACAAACCCAGAACGCCCTCCCCCAGTCCCCGTCTTCTAAATTATCTTTTCCTCCTCACTGTCAAATCCTTTTCCCAGTTAGGAAAAACCCTGTTCTTTCCCAAGCATTTGCAAGGTAGCGCCTGTAGAAAGCCAACAAGAGTCTCCGAGTCCTCTACCTTTTTGTGTTATCCTGGTGAGCTGCGTAGCACTGGAATAAAGCCAAAGGCAGAACCCGAACTGACGCAAGGGATCAGCTTTTGGAGGCTTGCGTGGAGGAGCTGTTGTCTAAAGTTAGTTGGGCTGAGGCTGGTCTCGGACTTTGCTAGTTCGACAACAGCAGACAAGAAGCCAATGGACGGGCTGAAGGCATGCAGCGTCCTGGTGACAGGATCCAACCGGGGTATTGGCCTAGAGCTTGTCAGGCAGCTGTCGGAGAAGAGGAACGGCCCAGAATGGATCTTTGCCACCTGCCGCGACACGGAGGGGCCCCATGCCCAGGTGAGCCCTGAAGGGGGATCAGGTATACCTGAGGAAGGGAGTTGAAGCGAGGGGATTCCTCTCCCCCCCCCTCTTTTTTGGGTTGTGTGTGTGCTTATGAGCCTGGAAGTCGTGGTGACTTCTGGCAACCCCTAGTGGGGCTAGGACGTTTCAGAGAGGTGGCTTGATAGAACCTGCTTCCGCATCCCAGCCCTGGTATTCCTTGGTGGTCGCCCTTCCAAGTACTTGCCAGGGTCAGCCCTGCTTAACTTCTGAAATCTGATGAGACTGGGCTTGCCTGGGCTGTCCAGGTCAGGGCGAGGGGATTCCTTTTGATGCCAAAGATAGTGTGTCCAAGAGGATGGAGGTTTGAATACCTCTGGGAAGGCGTTTGAAGTTTCCTGGCCGCAGGGCAAGTTTGGTTCTATGGGAGAGGTTCACCCATAAACATAAAAGCAGTTGCTTCTTAAAGTGCTGTGACCACCTTTTTCTTTGCAGAATTAGGGAAATGGGCTGATATGGACTGATGATCCTCCCCCCCATCCATTCATCCCATAAGCGCTTTAAAAGAGGCCTACTGTGTGAGAGAGAAATGAGGAGAGTAACCCAAATGAAATATTCTGAAATCTGTGAACATGAAAGCAGATCTTCCCATGGAATTTAGTGCTGCTTACTCTTAAATAAATGTGCTCAGGACCAATGCTCCCTCTAAGCTGTGGAGTCTTGTGAGTGAAAATTCTACTTTGTGAGCTATTGGCATTAAAGTTGTGAGCAAGCAATTTGGCTACCGCATAAATTAGTTGGCTCTGGAGCCATCCTCCCTGAGCTAAGACAAAAATGTATGAGCCAGAGGCTAAAAAAACTGTGAGCTAGCTCACACTAACTCAGCTTAGAGGGAACACTGCTCAGGACTACATTGGTCATTCCTTAAAAAGCAGGGGAGACCCAGATCAAAGGGTAAGAAATAGGCATGAACCATACGAGACAGCATAACCTAAAGTATGGAGCTCCAGTTTTTACCTGTGTTTCCGAGTGGTTAGGTTTGGAGGCGGGGTTTTTAATACTTTGCTTTTCCTTCCTACTGCATCAAACGCAGCAGCCTTTGGTGAAACCAGAAACCAAGGACCATTATGCACTCAGTTTATTCCCGATTTTCACTGAAGTTGAGTCGTAGGGTAGGGTTGCCAATCCCTAGTTGGGGGCAGGGGATCCCCTGGTTTGGAGCCCCTCCCCCCTTCAGGGCTGTCAGAAAGCAGGCGGGGGGGGGTGGCCTCTCCATTATACCCTATGGAGATTGGTCCCCATAAGGGAGAATCGATCGGTGGGTACCTGGGGCTCGGGGTGTGTGTGTTTTTTTAGGGAGAGTCACCAAATTTTCAGCATAGCTGTTGGTGCCTCTCCTGAAAAAAACACCCAAGTTTCAAAAAGATTGGTCCAATTCTACAAGCCCCCAAAGACGGTGCCCCCATCGTCCATTATTTCCAATGGAGGGAAAGCATTTAAAAGAAATGCAGTCCCTTTATATGTGACGGCCAGAACTGCCTCTGGAGTTCAATCGCCTAGCGACATCACAAAAGTGATGTCACATCCTGGCTCCACCCCCAAAGTCCCATATATTTCCTAAGTCAGACCTGGCAACCCTATCGTAGGGCTTGACTCCGAATGCAGTGCATGTACTCTGCACTCTTCCTGCCTGCCATTCCTAGCCCTTAACAGAGAATCCAGCACTCTTCACCAGTCTCTGCCTTTGGTCTCTTTTAGGACTTGAAGGATGTGGCTGCCAAGCACCGGGAAGTTAAAATCATCCTGCTGGGTATGTGCTTCTCTCCCCCACCCCCAATTCTGCATTGACTGGAGTAGGAGACAAGTCTGGACCATTCTATTCTGGCTGCTTCCACACTTTAGTGCACTTTAGCCATTCAGCAGTCAGCTGCAAGCAGAATTTGTGGTTCTGTAGATCACCGAATAAGTCGTTTGTAGGTATCCTGTTTGCACATAGGATCCAGTTTGCACGTAGCATTCGTATCTCACTACAGATGTTAACTTCCTGCATCTAAGCATTCCTCCACTGCTTCATTCATTCAAGCTGATTACATTTTGCATTGTACCTTTGCATCCTTTATGCAAATATTCTTTACAATACCCTCCCACCTTCTTAGTGGGATATAGGGATATATGGACTCAGGGATCTTAGGTCCTGTTTGCACCTGATGAAGAGAGCTTTGAGGGAGCTTTCGAGGGAGTTATCCCTCGAAAATCTAGCTGGTCTTTGGGGTGATAACGGACTTGAATCTAGCTTTTGCCCCCACGTGATTTTGTTCCTTTCTCCATTTAAAATTTTTTCATTTGACCTGGAACTCCCCCTTAGAATACTTGATGCACACAAACCACCAATGTTCTGTCGTGAAGCTTTGCCAAACGTGTTTGACAGCGCTGGCCGCTTTTGACATCTGAAATTCGTCAAGAAGTGACTGAAAAGAAGTTAAGTTCTTGTCTGCCATGTCAGAACATAGTATGAATAACACTTTTGCACATTCCTTGCGAACGATAACATAAGGGTAAAGGAAATTTGCAGCATTAAAAATTTATATATAACGACTTGTTCACAGTAGTCACATTCACTAATTTATAAGAAAATGAAGAGAAAAGAAAATCAATAGCTATTACCAATCACTGGCCATCTGTGAGGGGTGCTGGCCAGGAGCTTCAAGGTTGGCCGAAATCCCAAGGAAACGATACCCGAGACCCAAGTTTGCTTCCAAGGAGATTTTTAATAAAGCATCAGAATTACAGAGAAAGCAGGGCCAACCATGGCAAGTACTTGGAAGGGCAACCTCCAAGGAATACCGGGGCTGGGATACAGAGGCATGCTATCAAGTCACCTCTCTGGAATGTCCTAGCTCCATTAGGGGTCACCAGAAGTCAACCATGACTTCCAGGCTCACAAGCCCCCCCCCCCCAAACACACAGAACTTACAGAGAATGCAGGCTTAAGCTTCCATCAACTGGGCCTGGAGTGAAACTTGCCAGTGAAACTTGCCAGAATCCAAGACCCCATGCATAACTAAAACTAGGTGTCTTAGGTAAAGGTAAAGGTTTCCCTTGCTCGAAAGCCAGTCGAGTCCGACTCTAGGGTCGCGGTGCTCATCTCCGTTTCAAAGCCGAAGAGCCAGCGTTTCCGTGGTCATGTGGCCGGTATGACTAAACACCAAGGTGCACACACGCCCCCCCCCCCCCCAAACACACAGAACTTACAGAGAATGCAGGCTTAAGCTTCCATCAACTGGGCCTGGAGTGAAACTTGCCAGTGAAACTTGCCAGAATCCAAGACCCCATGCATAACTAAAACTAGGTGTCTTAGGTAAAGGTAAAGGTTTCCCTTGCTCATCTCCGTTTCAAAGCCGAAGAGCCAGCGTTTCCGTGGTCATGTGGCCGGTATGACTAAACACCAAGGTGCACAGAATGCTGTTACCTTCCCACCGAAGTGGTACCTATTTATCTACTTGCAATTTCTTGCTTTCGAACTGCTCGGTTGGCAGGAGCTGGAACGAGAGACGGGAGCTCACTCCGTCATATGGCAACTCGGGTCTCGAACTGCTGAACTACCGACCTTCCACAGCCTGCAGTTCAGCGTCTTAACCACTTGAGCCACCGCAGCTCCATAAGGTGGCTACGAGTCAAATAATCATTAATTATGCTACCCCAAACATTTGGATGAGTCAGGGCACTTTGCACCTGGCATCCAGTGGTGGGAAGAGACAACCCAGGCTTTGAAGATAAGCTCAGCCAACAAGCATGGGGGAGAGAAAAGTTCCCTTGGGAGTAGCCCAACCCCTTTCTCTCCCAAGACTTAGAGCAACCAAGCACCAGCATGTAACCAAGCGGGAATCTCGCTGGATGTATACCATCTTGTGACTTGTGACAACTCAGAACTGTAAATGCAAACAGACACGACCAAAGGAAATAGCTTTGAAAATGATAAAGGGCAGTAAAACTTTAAAGATGAAACAAGGAAGGTCTTTTGCGCTAAACGCTAGCCTGGACAATTGTAAATAAGTGAATCACGTGGGGTGATTCTGCCTGTGGCATTCGCTCCTCATTTTCTCAACGCTGAGCAGGGGTCATTTCGTAGAAAAAGAGGTGCAGGAGCTCATTAGCATAACTCATTAGCATAACTCATTTGCATATGCCAAACCCCCTGACATCACCGGAAGTGAGTCAGAAGGCAACACCCACCGCTCAGGCTCCACTGGACTGTTTTCAATTGCTAGCTATTGGTGGGGGGGAACGTGTAGATCTGTCCTTGCAGAGGAAGGAGAGCTTGTTCCTGAATAAAACCTGGTCTTAAAGGTGCCACTGGACTGTTTTGGACCAGGGGGCGGGGGGGGGGCTCTGCAACTTACCTGGCTGTTTCTTGCTCTGACTGAGGGCTGCTGGGAGCAGGGGGTGGTGCTTGTTTCATGTGCCCGCCACCTGGGCTGTTTACTGCCGGAGCTCCGCTCCTGTGCGCTCCTGCAGGAAATGACCCCTGACGCTGAGGAAAAAGTGCAGCTCAAAACCACATTCAAATTCCCCAGGGCAACGTCATACTGACTGCGATGTCACCCCTGAATGGCCACAAATCTATGCAAAAAGTCTGGTCACATGTATATACATGGATGGAATCTAGGGTAAATCTATAATTCGGCTCTGAGAGTTGCAATTCCAGGTATAGAAGAGACGGTGAAGGATCTGTTTTGTGTTATATGTTACATGTTACCATATGTAGCTGTAACGATGAAACTGTGTTATGTGTAGGGATCCGTGTTGTGTTGTGTTTGGTTGGTTAATGATGAGTTTATGTGTATTTGTATGTTTATAACGGTGTCAATAAAAACTATATTAAAAAAAATCTGATGATCAAAGAAAGTGAAAGCAGCATGCAATGCGGAAGGGAATTTCTGTTCCAAGGTGGGTTTGGTAAAATAATGGAGGGAAAAGCCAATGCAGAATCGACCATGATTGAAGGGGCTCACATCCATCGCTCCCCATTGCCTCCTGGCCTCTCTCCGAGGACACTACCATCCAGTTTTGGAATCACAGTTTTTAGGCCAACAAATGTTGGAAGCATTCCAGCAGTAAAAGTGTTTGCTGTTGTGCATTTACTTCATGGGGAGCCACAGTCACAGTTACGTTTCTAAGCAAGGGTAATGTTTATTTGTACATGTAAAACATTTCAAGGGTGAATAAGCAATGGCAAAGTGTGAAGAGATCCTTAGCTGTCTGTCCTTCGAGGTGCAAAGAGGCTAAAGGGAAGAGGACCACAGGGCTGGCTTCTGGCTGGGCCAGCTCATCTTTTACTTGCCTTTAAATTTTTCCATTTGCTGCTGCAGAAGTTACTGATCATTCCAGCATCCAGGCTGCTGCAGCCAGAGTCACAGAGCACCTGCAAGGAGCTGGGCTGAATCTGCTCCTCAACAATGCTGGGATTATAAGGCTAAGCACTCTGGAATCGGAGACGGCAGAGGACATGGCCGAGGTGTACAAAACCAATGTGATCGGGCCCATGCTGGTGAGCCAGGTAAGGCCATCCTAGGGCCCCTTCTTCAAAGAAAAGGTAAGGGGGAAAACTGATAGGGAACTATTGGGAAGCCATCACCAGTATTCTGTAACAAGATTATTAGAGATTGCTGTTAGGAGATGACATACACAAAAGGGTGAATTCTGCCATTAAAAAAGGTTCATTGACAGGCTAAATGCGGAAAGCAGGCTACTATAGACCAGAAGATAAGAAATTTGCAAGGCCAGACTCTGATAAAAGCAGAAAGTAGGGGTTTATAGATCAGAAGATAGATATCTGCCAGACCACACCCTGATAAAAGTGGAAAACAGGATGCTATAAATTAGAAAATTATACATCTGCAATGTCACAATAAGAAGAGAAAGGAGATAACATCTTGGTCACGCTTGGCAACAGAAAGCATCTAGCTTTTACTGCAACATATAATCATATTTGGCAAAGAACATATGTACATATATGGAATTATCACAACAGGAAAATGGGGAGAGGGATATGATTTAATTAAAACAAAGGCAGGATAACCTGAGAAAGGCGGTACAGATTAGATTGTAAATCTGGGAGCCACTTAGGTGACTGACAGGGACTTTTCGTGATCGGGATAGGGAATTAAGGCTTGCATATGTTAATGATGCTATTGTATAAAAACTGTATGTAACCACAGAATCTTTTAACTCCTTACCTGGGTCTTTTGACTCAGGTTGAGCTTCCCTGTTGTGCAACAGACAGTAAAAGATTTTTTTTAAACATCTCCACTCTTGACTTAGCCTGATTTCTTTGTGGGGCACAGCTTTTGTACCCAACAGAAAATGTCATCTTTCACAGCCTATACCTTTTGATGGCTTGGTGCCAGTGCTCCCTGGTGATGGGAGTTACAGGTTGCATTGCTATCAAAGAGTGGTAGAGGATCTGCTTTGCATGCAGAAGATCTCAGGTTCAATCCCTGGCATCTTCTGCTGAAAGGTCCAGGTAGTAGGCAGTGGTGGTGGTGGAAAGTACCATCAAGTCGCAGCCAAATTATGGTGACCTTGTAGGGTTTTCAAGGCAGGAGGCAAACAGACGTTGTTTGCCATTGCCTGCCTCTGTGTAGAAATCCTGGACTTCCTTGGGGGCAAGGGCATAGCCAGAAAATTTTGGTTGGTGGGGTGTGGGGAAATCGGGGGGGGGGCACCTCTGCTGCGACCTCTAGCCCTCCTCTAGTCCTTTTGATTGGATAGACTCAATTCCAGGCCACTTTTCTGTGTTAGCTGGGGAGGGAGGGAATCTCTGACTCTCTCTCTTTTGCTTTTTGCAATTTTATTTTTTGCATTTTTAAAAGCCTATTTTGGGGGGGCTGGAAAAAGAAAAATGAGAGTGAAGCTTCCCTGACGGGGGCAGCACTCATCTGTGGGGGGCATTGCCCCCAAATATGCCTTGTGGCTAAAAGCCTGTTTGGTGGTCTCCCATCCAAGTACTAACTAGGACTGACCTTACTTAGCTTCCAAGATCTGATGGGAATTGGGCTAGCCTGGGCCATAGGTAACATGAAAGGTCTCTACCTGAGACCCTGGAGAGCTGCAGGGCATCTAAGGCAGCTGCTCCGGACCCAGGCTGGGGAGGCCCCAACTGCCCACAGCAGTGTTCCCTCTAAGCTGAGTTAGTGTGAGCTAGCTCACAGTTTTTTAGCCTCCAGCTCACACATTTTTGTCTCAGCTCAGGAAGGATGGCTCCAGAGCACACTAATTTATGCAGCAGCCAAATCGCTCGCTCACAACTTTAATGCCAGGAGCTCACAAAGTAGAATTTTTGCTCACAGGACTCCACAGCTTAGAAGGAACATTGGCCCACAGTCCTGCCTCTCTGACAGAAGGGGAAAAGAGGAGCAAGCAGGTTCTTGCTGTAACCTGTGCCCACCCCCTCTGGGACTTGGGTGGCAGCCAGCTCAGCAGTCCCCATGTGCACCCACTCACCTTTCACATGATATGGTGATCTCCAGATGACCAAGATCAGTTCCCCTGGAGAAAATGGCTGCTTTGGAGGGTGGACCCTATGGCATTATACCCTGCTGAGGTCCCTCCCCAAACCCTGCCCTCCCCTGGCTCCACCCCCCAAATCTCCAGGTATTTCCTGACCCAGAGCTGGTAACCTTACCTGGGAGGCGGGGGGGGGGCAGTGATTCTGGAACCCCATCCTGGAATTTTCCCCAGGGCCCCAGAATGACTGGGACCTCCCCTGGCTGCCCATCAGAATAGAATGATATGAATGGCCTGACTGGATAGAGGGCAGCAGTTTCTGTTTGATAGATCAGGTGCATGTACACTTGGGATTAAGTACCCAGCACAGAACTTGCAATACACGGTTAGTTGCGTGAACCCAGGGGGGAGCGAAACACGTAACTGGGATAATTCCAATAATAAGGGAAAGGAATGGGGGTACAAATGAACAAGTGGAAATTATTATTATTATTATTATTATTATTATTATTATAATATTCTGTGCATATCCATGCCAGTGAACAGGTGCCCAGTCCGCTCTATGTACCATGTCTCTGTGCTTGATTGATAGGGTTGCCAACTCTGGGTTGGGAAATACCTGGAGATTTGTGAGGTGGCACCTGGGGAGGGTGGGGTTTGAGGAGGGGAGTGGCCTCAGCAGGGTCTAATGCCACAGAGTTCGCCCTCCTGAGCAGCCATTTTCTCTAAGGGAACTGATCTCTGCAGTGTGGAGACCAATTTTAATAGCAGGAGATCTTCTGGTGCCACTTGGAGACTGGCAACCCTACAGATGCTGTCCCTTTCTCCAGGCGTTCCTGCCCTTGTTGAGGAAGGCATCTCAGGAAAGCCCCCAACCAGGGATGAGTTGTAGCAAAGCCGCCATCGTCAATGTGTCAAGCGGAGGTGGCTCCATCACAGATCTCCGTCTATGGCATTTGGGGCAGAATGTTAACTATCGTTGCAGCAAGGTATGCCCATATCCGTGGCGCGAGAGATGACGATCACTGGGTGACCTAAGCCAGACACTCTTTTTCAGAGTGCCTCACTGGAACATTGTGAGGATGCAATGAAAATGGGGGGGGGGGTGTGTGTGGACTAAGTACCCTGACCTGAGCAACTTGGTGGAAGTGAAGACTTACACAGATGTCCTTTGGACATGCTAATTTACCGTGGATCTGGCTGTATCAGTTGTTTCCCTCTTTCTTGCATGTTTTCTTTACAGGCGGCTGTAAATATGCTCACCCGGTGCCAGTCCCTGGGATATGCTGAAGATGAGATCCTGTGTGTTGCATTGAACCCCGGATGGGTGAAGACAGACATGGGAAGCATGACGGTAGGCGATTCCTCATGGAAGCTCATCCCCATGCTGAGTGTTGGGGGTTTTCAAGGTCCAGGAAATTGCCTGGGACCCCACCAACTGTCAGTAAACTGCCTTTTGTATTCTGGGTATGCTTTGTGTATCCTGCCTGGTGTATGATGGGGGGGGGGGACTAGCCAGCATTTCGCAGTTCTCATTCTCCAAGCGCTTTGCCGTTTGTTTTGACTTTGGAATGTTATGCTGCCTTTGTAGTTGATAAGACTGTGAGAACTGTTGCTGCGGCCGTTCCCAATCTGGCCGGTGTGGACCAAACGGCTGAAAGCTATCTCCCGCCAGAAAGACCAAGTTTCAATTATTGATCAATTCTTCCACACTCAGACTGGGTGGTGTAATGATTAGTGTCGGACTAGGATCTGGGAGAGCCAGGTTTGAATGCTCACTCTGCCAGGGAAGCTTGCTAGGTGGCTAATCACACATTCTGAGCCTAGCCTACCTACCTCACAGGTGTCTTGTGAGGATAAAATGGAGATGGGGAGAATGTTGTAAGCCACTTTGGGTGCCTGTGCCAATATGGAGAAAAGTGGGGTATAAATGAAATAAAAATATAAATAGGGTTGTAGTATAATGGAATGGTTAAAAAGGGCACTTACATAAGTGGGACAGGATTGTGGTCTCTGCTACAGCACTCTGTTGTATGTATTTTCTTGTGCTTTACAACACTGTCTTCTATTTTATACATCCATTCTCTGCATCCTACAGCATGTCATATCTTATACCATATTTTGTTTGCACTGTTTTCCAATTTTGTAATCCTAAAAGTTAAAGGTAAAGGTTCCCTTGCTCGAAAGCCAGTCGAATCCAACTCTAGGGTTGCGGTGCCCATCTCCGTTTCAAAGCCGAAGAGCCAGCGCTGTCCGAAGACGTTTCCGTGGTCATGTGGCCGGCATGACTAAACACCAAGGCGCACAGAACGCTGTTACCTTCCCACCGAAGTGGTACCTATTTATCTACTTGCAATTTCTTGCTTTCGAACTGCTAGGTTGGCAGGAGCTGGAACTAGAGAGGGGAGCTCACTCCGTCATGTGGCACACTCGGGTCTCGAACTGCTGAACTACCGACCTTCCACAGCCTGCAGTTCACTGTCTTAACCACTTGATCCACCGCAGCTCCTTTTTTGTAATCCTAGTCCTGCTCTTATGCTGTCTGATTGCATATTTAGTCCTCTGTCTCATGGAGAAAGTTGGGCTACAAATAAATAAATCCAAATGTATCTATGTATTTTGCACTTGGATGATATATTAACATTTTGGGATTTCAAAAACATTTTAAATATTCCCTTCATAAAAAAAAGAGAGCATTTCTTCCTAGATCAGAATAAAAAGTATCTAGTCCCACACATGGTCTACACTCCTAGACAGTTATATGTGTAGGGATTTTTTAAAAAAATTTCAACTCTGTGCTGGATTGTGGCTGGATTAGGAGCAGGACTGGGGTTGCCAAACTCCAGGTGGAGCCTTGAGATCTCTCAGAATTCCAGCTGATTTCCAGACAACACAGTTAAATTCCCCTGGGAAAAACCCACTGTTTTGTAGGGTGGACCTACAAACCCCACCGTCCCCAGGCTCTATCCCACCAAATCTCCAGGAATTTCTCAGACAAGAGCTGGCAACCCTTGGCTGTACTGATATTCCTAGGAAGTTCACAGTGTATTTATTTATTTAGCTAGTTTATTTCTTAGCCACCTCTTCAGAAAACTGCTTGAAGTGGCTAGGAAAGTCTGATGACTACCATTTTATGTGTGCATCAGGTGTTCAGAGGTATGCTGCTGCTGGACAAGGAGGATCCATGTGGCACTCTAAGACCCGCTAAAAAGGGTCCCCAATCCGCCAGTCTGGATCCAGCCAGTGGGGGGAACCCCACCCCTGAAGTGGCCAGATCGGGCCGACGTGCACGGCATGATGATGTAGCCCGGAAGTGATGTCATCACACCGGGCACGTTGCCGGGAAACAGTCTAGCAATCACCCTGAAACCATAGAGTTTTCAGGCTGGTTGCTAGAGCGTTGCCCAGCAATGTGCCGAGCATGATGATGTCACTTCCAGGCTATGTCATCGCGGCGCGCGCGATGACTCCCGGAGAGGGCCCTGGACTCCCTCGCTATTACTCCGGTAAGACTTGGCAACCCTGGCACCAGCTGACCTGACAACCCAGGCAATGGCATGGGGTAGAGTCAGTTGCCAGCTCTGGGTTGGGAAATACCTGGAGACTGGGAGGGGGGTGGAGCCTGGGAGGGCGGGTTTTAGGGAGGGGGACCTCAGCAGGGTACAATGCCACAGATTCCACCCTCCTGAGTAGCCATTTTCCCCAGGGAAACTGATCACTGTGGTCTGGAGACCAGTTGTAATAGCAGATCTCCAGTCTCCACTTGGAAGTTGGCAACCCTAGCTGGGGGCCCTGTGGGGCTTGCCCTCTGGTTTTCTAGGCCAAGGGCTGCCTAGTCAATGGGTGAACCTCCTGAGACTTGGATTTCTATAAAATATAGATCAGCTTATGAGTAATATTTGCCTTTGATATCTGAATTTGGTACATGAGTGTTGTTATCTACAGACTTGGTCAATCATTCTCATTTGACATTCTTGTGTTCACAGTGCCAGTTCTCCTTGAGTTGACATAACTTTTCCCCCTCTTCTCATTGGTAAAGGCCCCAACAACAGTGGACACAAGAGTGCGAGTGATTCTGAACACCCTCGGCCGTCTCTCTGAGAAAGACAATGGCGCTTTTTTGAACTGGGAGGGGACAGCCCTGCCTTGGTGAGGGCCAGACTGAATGGTGGCTGCCTTGCCGGAAGAATCTCTCACCAAGGGCCTCACTAATCACGCCTCTGTCCACAACGAGCATTCCACGATCTCCTGAAAATATTACCCCCTTCTTTTCCCTTTTGTAGGTGAAGCGAAAATTAGCCGTTCTTCATTTACTGTGTATTGTATTTCTAAGTTTTTAAGTCATTTGGAGTTTTCAAACAGAAATTGTCTACTAAATCCAGTCACAGGAATTAAAATGTCGTACACATTACTGTTTGTTGCTGCTGTTTATAAAGGAAAATGAAACCCAGACCCTCTCCAATGACCTTCTGCATGTAAAGCATCATCAAGTCACATCCCACTTATGGTGACTCCAGCAAAGGGCTCTCAAGGCAAGTGAGAAGCAGAGGTGGTTTGCCATTGCCTTCCTCTGCAGAGTCCTCCTTGGAGGTCTCCCATCCAAGGACTAAGCAGGGCCGACCCTGCTTAGCTTCCGAGATATGACATGACTAGGAAAAAGGCCCGTTGTGGAAATAAATACAATGACCTCTAGAAAGAGGCTCTGGGCGGGTGCCTCGGCCTTGGACACTTAGTGTCAATTTGCTGTGGCGACCTCAGCAGGGTATAATGACACTGAGTCCACCATTTTCTCCAGAGGAACTGATCTCTGCTACCTAAAGAACAGTTGTAATTTTGAGTGATCTCCAGCCCTCACCTGGAGATTGGCAACGATGGTTCTCCAGAAGGGAATAGTTGGTTTGAACGGTGGAGCCTATGGCTTTGTACCTCTCCGAGGTCCCACGCCTCCTGAAACCTCACCCTCTCCAGGTTCCATCCCCCACATCTCCAGGAATTTCCCACCTGGAGTTGGCAACCCTATCTCCTTCCCAGCCAATCATCAACCTACCTTTATTTCCTCCTCACTCTTCAGCTTTCCACCCCCCACACACCTGCAGCCTCTCCCGTGCTCTGAAGCCCTGACTGCTACGTCACATTGGCTGTCATACGGGGGCCACCTCAGCAGCATATAAGGATACAGAGCCCACCATTTTCTCCAGGGGAACTGATCTCTTCCGTCTGGAAAGCAGTTGTAATTCTGAGTGATCTCCAGCCCTCACCTGGAGATTGGACACATTTTACCTCAAAAGAGCAAACTGTTTAGAATGTTAGAGGCAAAAGCCAATCAAGTCGCATATGTGTGCTCTGAGGCAAAGGCCAATGAGGCTGCATATGCAAATAACCTCTGTGTTCTGACTGGCTATGGGGGGGAGAGGAACAGCAAAATGTTTAGAATGTTGGAGGCAGGACTCAGGCAAAGCAGCCAGTGGATAGGGAGACCCTCTGAATGACAGATCAGAGAGCGAACTGATTTTGGAGCGTGTGGAATGTTCTAGAGAAGTGCCACCACCATTCGGCTTTTATTTATAAGGGAGATTGGCCTAACCTGGGCCATTGAGGTTGGAGCTGATGCAAAAGTGCCTTGGCTTAACTGGCCAAATACATGCGGAGAGCCATCAAATTGGGGATGAGGCAAGTAAGTTTCAATGGCCTGGTTCCCATGCAAGAGATCACAGCATTCAGAGAAGGACTGGGGCTCACTGGGGAAGGAAAGTGATAGGTGCCATACCTAACTGAACCATACGGATAGTGGGATTTTTGTTACGCAGATCATGCAGGACCTGGAACTGGAGACAGAAAGATGGTTGAGGTGAAAGCAATTGGTCCAGTGACATGGGAAGAAACTTCTATTTCTTGTAGTCAGAACAGTCTGTCAATTAAAATATTTTTTGCACCATCAAACTTTTTGCACCATCAAACAGTGGCTCAAGGCAGTTCACAAATACAGATGTGACACTGCACAAGCATTGTAAGTACAAATGCAAATAAATACAGAAACACAGAAAAAGCAGCCCTAACTGCATCTTTAGTATGCACACTCAGCTCATATCATATCATAAATCACTGATTCTGTTGCCCTCAGCTTGTTAAACAAGAAGGCTTTATGTTGTCTGTGGAATTGTCTATGAAATCCTCCTTGGCTCTCCTGGGAGACTGTTCCAGAGAACTGCAAGGCTGGGAAGGAACATGCCCAAGAGGTGGCAGATTTTCAGAGATGGGACACTCAAGAGGAAGCTCACAGGCTCAAGCTGGCAGGATGATCATATGGAAGAGATTTATTTATTTATATTATTTATTTTTCATATTTGTATCCCGCCCTCCCCGAAGGCTCAGGGCGGCTCACAAGGGCAAGGTAAAAACCAAGCCATAAATAAAACATATGGTACATAATAAAAACATCCAACATTATTAAAAACAGTGGTGCTCAATCAATTACTAGTATCGTGAATCCAAGATGAAGCAACTCAGTTCAGATGGTACATCCCATGATATTATGCCTAAACGGAGACGACTTATCAGATCTTCTAAACATTTCCAGGTTGCTCCTCAGGGCCTCGTCAGTGCATCCTTTAAGGTACCGTGACGGTGATGGTATAGTGGGGCGGTGGCTCCTACTCAAAGGCCTGGCTGAAGAGCTCAGTCCTGCAGGCCCTGCGGAACTGGATAAGGTCCCGCAGGGCCTGGATCTCCCTCGGGAGCTCGTTCCACCAGGTAGGAGCCACCACTGAAAAAGCCCTGACCCTGGTCGCAGCTAGGTTAGCATCCTTGGGGCCCGGGATGACCAACAAATTTTGGGGCCCCGACCGTAGTGCTCTTGGGGGAACATGTGGGGAAAGGCAGTCCCTCAGGTAGGCTGGACCCTGGCCATATAGGGCTTTATAGGTAAGAACCAGCACTTTGAAGCGGATCCGGTACGCTATCAGCAGCCAGTGCAGCGCTTTAAGCACAGGCTGAATGTGGACCCTCCTAGAGAGACCCATCAACAGCCTGGCTGAAGCATTCTGCACTAGCTGCAGCTTCCGGATTTGCAACAAAGGCAGCCCCATGTAGAGAGTGTTGCAGTAGTCTAGCCTCGAGGTGACTGTCGCATGGATCACAGTGGCCAGGTCATCGCGGTCAAGATAGGGGACCAACTACGACAGTGGCTGCCACCTGAGCCTCCTATCCTCTCCGACATTGCCATTTGAGCTGCTTGCCTTTGCTGTGTGTATCGGTTCCTGGAAATCTTTTCATTCACAGTCCAAAGGTCGCTGAAAAATCTATACAAATCAGTGGTGTGCTGGCAGACGCTGTACCTCTCATTCCTCTACCTTACCTTTCCCCTCAATATGCACCAATCCCCACTTCGAAACTTGACAAGGCAGTGCTTTTGGGAAACCCACACCCATCTTTTTTTAAAAAATACAGTCTTGGTTATCTGAGCAATGCTGGCAGGCAGCCCAACGCAGAATCTGAGCGCACAATGGACTCGAGTGAGTTACACCATCCCTGGGTTGAGAAGCCAGAGGTTATAGTTAGCTGGGCTGCCGTTGGCTTTCCAAATCAGGTCCAGCCAGAGCAATGCTGAACGCAAGAAGCGTCCTGGTGACAGGATCCAACCGGGGCATTGGCCTGGAGCTGATCCGGCAGCTGCTGGGGAACAGCAAGCGGCCAGAATGGATCTTTGCAACCTGCCGGGACCCGGAAGGACCACATGCCCAGGTGAGCATTAAAACAAATGAATGGGATTGCAGTGTGAAGTACATCCTAAATATAAAAAAAATCTCTGTGATATGTTACTATGTGTGCTTGTATTTGCATTTTGTCTGTACTGTGCTTATGAAGTATTGCTCAAATGACTATGTATCTGTGCCTTTGGGACGCAGGGCTCAATGTTATGTGCGTTTGCTGCTATGTGTTTGAATGGCGGGCCTTGCACCTCATGCTACCCATGGATGGACATAGCTGAGATGCCTGCCACAAAGCAGATGCCTGCCCTGGAATTTTCCAATGTGCCCCTGGCCAGAGGAGGTCATCGCCATTGTGCACAAGGAGACATTTGGAGAAGCAACAGGCGTGACCCACTATTGATGGATTGTGGGAAAGCACCAACTCCCTCTCTGTTATCTGGTTTGGCATCGAAAAGACAACACTGGTTATGACTCTGGACCAGCAACATCCCAGCAATCAAAGGTTGTCAATGGAAACGGAGGTTCTCACCTCAACACATGGCCCCGCTTTGATGTAGGATAGAATATCCTCCTATTGCCCCCTGCCCCTTCATTAGGACGTCACCCCTTAGTGGACCTATAGCCATAGAATAGAGGATGGACCCCAGGATTTATGGCAGGTAAGGCCATGCCCAGAACAGAGCTGGTAAAAAGAGAAATGCGGCTTTGTTTCTATCTCTATCTCTCTCCAGCCTCTGCTTCTTCCCCTTAGCGTGCACTAAGGTGCTTCAGGTGACTCTCTAAGTTCCCCGGAGTCGCGACCAGGGAACGCACACGTGGCTTGGCTGGACCAGCCTTTGTGTGTTCAGAGTTCACCAGTTGATACGTTAGTTACCCTTCTTTCCTAAGAGGAGATTTCTTCTCAGCGGACCTCAGATAAGTATGCCCGCCTACCTGTGAAGTCATCCCCCTTATTTGATGCTTTTGTTATTTTTCATACTGATTGTTTCTATATTCTATTGTAATTAAGGAGCTTGTGCGAATCTTGTATGTATCTGTTTTTGTATGTCTGAAGAAACTGCTTTAGTAAAGGCAACATTTATTCTTAAATCTAGTGTGTTGTCTGACTTCCTTGGGAAAATAGCGAGCTTTCAGCACCAATCTAACCTCTGGATACACGGGTTTAGAACTCACGCACCGCCCGCCTCTGTAAACAGGGTTGATCCGGGCTCCCGGAACCGTCTTTGGACCAGTTCGGGTAACAGATTCATAGGCGACAGTACTTTATTTGGTAAAACTACATACAAATTTCACAAATTTCAGCATTGCTCTGGCTGGACCTGGTTTGGAAAGCCAACAGCAGCCCAGCTAACTATAACCTCTGGCTTCTCAACCCAGGGATGGTGTAACTCACTCGATATGGAAAAAACAACAACCGTTAAAATAATCTTCTATCACCATTTCCAAAAGGGCTCATCTTTGTGTTATTATAGAACAAGACTAGTTGTAAATTAGTTGTAAACTCATTTTGTGTTACAACTTTCTTCGGAAGTTTTCATTCTTCATTAATTGTCTTCCTCTTGTTGCTCTGGGGTTATCTTCCTATTGTCGTGATACAGTGTTTATATAAGGAGAAAGCCAGTCCCTTTGGATAAGCAAGTGCAAAACCTGCTGTTCTTTTGCCTTCAAAACGCTCATCAAAGGTACAAGCAACTGAGCCTTCATGAAGGAACTACCTCAAAAATACAGATAACAATATACTAATAAAGATTGTTATTGAACAGATATTGTGCATATGAATGACCATAAATAAACTGGAACTTCTTTTTCATTCTCAGAACTGTTAAACCTCACTGTTAAAGGGAACATATATTATTGAGACTCACCTACAGTTACAATTCAACTTTTATATAAGGAGCAAGCCAGTCCCTTTTCTTAAATAGGTACCTTCTATTCCATGGCTGGCACAACGCTCTCAAGAGATACAAGCAACTGAGTCTTCATGAAGGAAAATATTTCTCTAATTTTTTAATAAAGAAGACGCCAGTCATCTTTCTTGAGCAGGAGCAAAACCTTTTGTTTTATGGCTGGCACAGCAGGCTCTAAGAATACTAACAACCAATCCTTCTTAAGAGAATCTGATCCCCCTAATTCCATGTAGCTGGTTGAAACCCACTTCCTTAAAGGTACAGATAACTGATTTTAACAATGATCAAAGTTGCCAACTCACTTGTGTACTTTTTCAATACATTTCCAATAAATCTGTGATAATACATTATAGCAACATGGCAAATTGCATATAATCCTGAACTAGTAATAATAATTTGGAGAAACCAGCATGCATATATAGCTTCATTTTGTCTTTTTCTTTTGTACTGTCTAAATTAGAATCAACCCAGTGGTCATTATGCATCATGAGCACGTTACAAATCTCATTCTTTATCACAACATTATATAAAGATTTATTTTATAAACACAACATTTTATGGTGCCACATTCCCTAATTCAAGCAGAAAAACAAATAAATGGGTTTGCAGTGTGAAGTACATCCTAAATACAAAAAACAATAACTGTGATATAGAGGTGACCATAGTTCCCTCTAAGCTGAGTCGGTGTGAGCTAGCTCACAGATTTTGAGCCTCCGGCTCACACATTTTTGTCTTAGCTCAGGAAGGAGGGCTCCAGAGCAAACTGATTTCTGCAGCAGCCAAATCGCTCGCTCACAACTTTAATGCTAGGAGCTCACAAAGTAGAATTTTTGCTCACAAGACTCCACAGCTTAGAGGGAACATTGGAGGTGACTGTACTTTATTTGGTAAGACTACATGCAAATCTCAGTTATCATTAAGATGGAAAAAACTAAAAACAACAATAACCACCGTTAAAATAATCTTATATCCCCATTTCCAAAAGGGCTCATCTTTGTGTTATTATAGAACAAGACTAGTTGTAAAATTATTAATAATAATAATAATAATAATAATAAATATTATAATAAATTATAATAATAAAGATGGGTAACTAGTTGCACACATTTTGGCTGAGGCTCTGGAGGCTTTGGCTGGTTGGTTACAACAGAACCGGCTGAAATTGAGTCCATCGGAGACAGAGGTCATATATCTGGGTTGGTTTTATTATCAATTACTATTTATTTTGCTTGTTTTTATTTAACGCACTATTTATTATTTAAGTCGAGTCACAGCCAACTTATGGCAACCTATTAGGGTTTTGAAGTCAAGAGACGTTCAGAGGTTGTTTGCCATTGTCTGTCTCTGCCTAGTGACCCTGGACTTCCTTGCTGGTCTCCCATCCAAATACTAAACCGGGCTGACCCTGCTTAGCTTCCAAGATCTGACAAGACTGGGACGTTTTCCGCAGTGTCAAGTTTCCCCCTGTCTGCTTTTCTATTAATCTGTGACTTTTTCTGATTTCCACAGATGATCTCTCCCTCCCCGGTGCAAAAACGCAGTTTGCCCCGGAGGGATAGATCATCTGCTGAAACCGGGGAAAGCCGCAGATGAATCGAAAAGCAGGCAGGGGGAAAGTTGACACTGCAGAAAACCTCTGGGCTAGCCTGACCATCCAGGTCAGGGCCTGACTCCCTTTCCCATATCAAACAAACCAGGATACTGGTTGTTACATCATAAATCTCTGGCTTTTGTCTCTTTCAGGAGCTGAAGGGTTTGGCTGGAAAGCATCGTGAAGTGAAGATCATCCCCCTCGGTATGTGCCTCTGCCCCCCTCCACCAATCCTCTCTTTTTTATTCATGCAGCAAGGGTTGAGCTTCAGAGTCATTCCGGACCAGCTGTTTCCGGAACAGTACAGTTTCCTGTTGCTCAGGCACTCCTTTTTTTCCAAAATTAACTTCCAGCAGAATTAAAATGGTGATGTCACGTTATAGCTAGTATTCCACTATACCTCACAGAATATCCAATAGTTCCCTTCCCCATGGAAGTAAAGTCTGTTCGGCAAAGATTCTGCTTTTTCTCTGTAATCTTCATATATTCTAACAGCAACAGTGTGGCCCCATCTGCGGATATCTAAATCTGTAGATCAGGGCCACACAGAAATATCTGAAACTTTAAAAAATTGGGGGGTTAATCCCACCCCCAAACAAAAGCGTTCTCTGTAGAAGTTCAGACAACACTCTTACCTCTGCCCTCTCTGTGGGTGGGCCTGGTGGGATGGCAGAAGGAAACCCAGCCTGGAGGAAACCCCTTCAGGCCCTCCAGGAGTTGTGCCAACTTACACTGAGAGTGGTGGTAAAGGGGGGAAAACCTCAGCAGGCCCTTTGGGAACCATACCCACCTCACTGCTGGGGGTGGTGGTAGACAGCAATGGGGGGGATGAAAGAAGCTGCATCAGGCCCTGCAGTGGCAGCAATGGGGAGGTGGCCAGGGTCAAATAAGGGGGAGGAGATTCACCCTTGCAAGTACCACGGGTCCCCACTTGTATATTCTAATAGCCAAGTCAGCCACATCTGAGGATACTTAAATCCGATGACTGGAAATGTGAAAGGACAAGATACCGTAGATCTTTCTACAAACCTGAAAAACATCCCAGGTTTGCAGGAAAATCTGAAAAAAATACATTGTGGGTTAAAAAAGCCAAAAATGATACAGGGAGCACCTACAGATTTAAGAAACAGAAGCCCTCAGCAGCCATTGTTTGGCAACCACATCATCCTATGCTTCGTTTCTGTCCGTAAAAGGCAGACGGAGAGGACAGGGCTTTGAGGGAGGACTTATTGGGACCAGGCATGGTGGCAACCACCGAGGGACTTGATACCACATGACTGCATGACTCACCTTGCTGCTTGCTACTGTTCAACAGCAGCCACCCTATAAAAAACAGTATGGTGTACCTGTTAGAGCTTCAGAATAGGGTCTGGGAGACCGAGGTTCAAATCTCCAGTCTGCCATGAAAGGTCACAGGGAAAGGGGAAATAATGTGGGGAGAGGGATACAGGGGAAAGTGATCCAAGGTAGAAGCTGCTGGAGGGGGACAAATAAAGGTAGGCTGGGTGGGAAGGAGAGAAGGAAGGAAGCAGGAAAAAGGGAGAGGCTATGGGGGCTTTCAGGGAAAGGAAAGAAGAAATAGTAGGGGAGGGGATGCCCCCTACAAGTCCTTGTGGGTTCCCACTTGTTTTATTTATAATTCTTCATCTATGTTTTTTTATGCCTAATTTGGTACTTTCTTTTCACTGACAGTGGTTGCTACATTCCTGGGCTGATCCTTAATTATCAGTTTTTCCAGTTCCCCAGTGATTAATTACTGCTTTTCAGATTTGCTCTTTTACAAACCCTCTCTGCTTAATTAGTTGCTTCCTTTTAATTTGGGGTAACCACCACATTGCTGAATTGATCCTTTTTTATCAGCCCTTGGGGTGGGAATAATTTTTGCTTTCCACTTTATATCCAGAGCAACTGTTCATTTAAATTTTTTACATGTTTTATTACTGTAGAATTTTGTAATTAATTATTTTGTCTGGCTGTAAAGATAAAAACAGTAATTAATCCCTCCAGACACCAAGTATTCATAATAACAGATCAATTCAGTGATGCCACAGCTAGAATATATCTATAGGAATTAAAGGGGGAAATCGTAAAGGAGTGATGGGCCTGAAAAACCTCAATAACATTTTTTACCATTCTATATTTGACAGGCCAACTCTGCAATTATTATTTCTTTTTAAAACTAGCCCCAAACTGGGTTGTTTCACAGACGCAGGCAGCAGCAAACCACCTCTAAATATCTCTTACCTTCAAAACCTTTGTTAAATGAGGCATGAATTGTGATTACACAAAAGTCACGGACACCGAGTTGAGTTTTTGATGCAGTTTCTGGCAAAAAGGCAACACAATATATTTTTTCTGCTCAGCTGTGTGATCCATTTATTGTTCAACCCTGCAATGACACCTTGTGGAATTGTTTCTACTTCCTCATGCAGAAAATTAAGCTTCTCAAAACGATTTTTAAAAGTAGAAGGGAGTAGTTGTGCACCTCATACAAATCAGTAATGTGGCTGGGGCAACACCATGTTACTGCTGAAGCAAGGATAACTCAGTGCTCTGTGAAATGGCTATAATACTGTTTAGAAACACTTTGAAGAATGACCATGAAGAAAGGCCATTGGTCTTCTTGAGTCTTCCTCCCTCCCTCACCCCTGGACACTTCATTGATGAGTCTCTGAAGCCAATGATGGGAAAAGCTAAGGAATCGTTCTGCTGAATTGGTAGGAGATGTGAATAATGCATAAGTGCAACCAACTTATGGCAACATGGCAAGCGAGAAGCAGAGGTGGTTTGCCATTGCCTTCCTCTGCAGAGTCATCCTTGATGGTCTCTCATCCAAGTAGTGAATCAGCCTAAGCTTCCAAGATCTGACAAAATGGGGCTACCATGCCCCCTCCCCTCCAAACTATAGATACAGTAAGATAAAAGGAGGCTGGGGAAAACATACAAAGGTCCCGGTCACACAGGCCGTAAAATGGGGGGGGAGCGTGGCAGTTTGGCCCGGAGCAAAATAACGCACGGCCACCCGATCACAGGTCCTGTCGAGGGCCCGTGGGTAGGGACGAGGTGGCGATCACACGAAGATCCTGCAGCGTGGCAAAGAAGCGGCGCGGCGCGATCTCACCAACGGCATGTGCGATTCTGCGGAGCAATGGAACTTTCACTTTCCTCTTCGTGCGCATGCGCCGTTGGGTGTTTGTGCACATCCTGTGGAGACTTGGGGAAAAAACCTGTTTGTGACGGGACAAGGGCGAGTGCCGGATGCCACGGACTACCACCGGAAATGCGATCAGACACCAGCCCTTGCCCCACAGTTTCTGGAAACTAGTAACTCGGAGGTACTAGTTTTTAACTCCGCATCTTCGTCGGGAAGCCTCGGGTTCGCCATGGGAGCTCTACGCTTCCCAGATGTTGCGGTGTGATTGCGCACGGAAAATCCGCCTATCATCCGTCTCAGTAGCGTGGCTAATGCTCCATGTGACCACAGCCAAATTACTTCTATGCTGTTATGTTGCAGCTGACTTGTGGTGATCCTGTATGGTTCTTCAAGGCAAGAGATGCTCAGACGTGGTTTGCCATTGCCTTGTATAATAAGTCTGTACCTATAAATGGAAGATACCCTCCCAGTGCATCCATTTATATTATTAAAAACATCAGTTTTCTTGCTTGGGTGACAGAATTGACTTGTTTATTTTGAGATCTGAAAGCTGTAATATGTCCTACAGGGTTTTTTTACTATAAATGGGCAGGTTAGATAAGCATATGGAGCAGAGGTCCATCAGTGGCTATTAGCCACAAGGTATAGATAGGGGCTCTGGGGCAAGTGATGTCCTGTCTTCTTGGTGCTTGGGGGGGTGTCAACAGTGGGAGAGCTCCTAGTGTCCTGGCCCCACTGGTGGACCTCCTGATGGCACCTGGTATTTCTGGCCACTGTGTGATACAGAGTGTTGGACTGGATGGGCCTTTGACCTGATCCAACATTGGCATCTGAATGTTAAAATATATTTTTTAGATGAAGCAGGAGGGTGCACATTAAAGACATGATGTCAGTTCCAGGAACACTTTTTTGTTGGTTTTATTTGTGTGTGTGTGCACGCACACACGCTTGCATGCCTGGAAGTCATGGCGACCTCCAGCAACCCCTAATGGGGTTTGGATGTTTTCAGAGAGGCGGCTTGATAGCGGTCCTCTGTGTCCCAAGCCCTGGTATCCCTTGGAGGTCTCCCTTCCAATTACTGGCCAGGGTCAGCCCTGCTTAGCTTCCAAGATCTGACGAGAGCAGGCTTTCCCGAGCTATCCAAGTCAGGGCGTTCCAGGGCCACATTGACTCACCTTGGTCTACTCCTTCCAGACAAGGGAGAAGCCTAGCTGAGGCACTTAAACTCGTTATGGCTTCAGAGAGTCGTTTCACTTTCCTTCAACCCATTGAGGCATAAGCAGGCTTTTACTAACTAGCCACTAGGTTGTAGCGTCTCTCACGCACAGGAGTCCACCCACCCCAGCCTGACCTATCCCAAGAGTCAGACTAAATGGCACAAGGTCTCCTCACTGCCAGAGACAGGCCCAGAGGTCATTTCGGGGGGGATCGCGGGGGATCGCAGTTCCCCCGGGTGAGGTATGGGGGGTGGGGCACATGATGAAGCCCCGCCCCCTGCTTCTGGCCGCGTGTGGCCTTATGACACACTTCTGGTGATGTCAGGGGGTGTGGCCTTATGACACACGTCCGGTGATGTCAGGGGTGTGGCATATGCTAATGAGTTATGCTAATGAGTTCCCCTAGCTCTTTTTCTACGAAATGACCCTGGACAGGCCTAACAATCGGGTGCCCTCTTCTCTCTCAGAGGCAGAGCCAAACCACTCTGCCACACTACCAAGCAGAGCTGCCCTTCCCTCTGTCTGCTCCTTTTCCGAGCCAGACCTGACCTCTCCCTGTTCTCTCTCTGAGGCAGTCCCAGGCTGACCTACCTCCTCCTGCGGTTCCCTCCAGCATCACACCTCCCTTCTGAAAGGTGATTGGATGCTGGAGCAGGCACCCATTGACTCAGCCGAGTGGCTGTTTTTTCCCTTCAGGGGCAGGACAGCCACTTGCCCATCACAGTGACTCATTTCCGGGGGAGGGAAGGAAATGCCTATGGAACATGCACCATCTTCAGGGCTGCATTTAAAACAGGGTGAAAAGAAGCCAATGAGGGTCTATGGGTGTCTCTCCTAAAGCCTGAGGAGAAAGGAGATAAGGAGGAGAAAGGAGATAAGGAAGACCTGGGTGACAGAACCCTGTTTCATTCTCCCTTCCAAGGATAAGGGAGTATGTGGGGAGTGGGGGCACCCCGTGGGAAGGAATGGGTGGGGCACACAACAGTTTATTGGAACAAAACAGAGGTCCAGTGGTACCTTAAGACTATGTATTCCAGCATGATTCTTTTTGTGTTGGAGTTCACTTCCTCAGATGCAATGGAAAAAAGAAAATAATTTCCCTCATTTTGATGTAGCAAATTACCGAAGGGGAGAGGGAAAAGGGAGGAGATGAGCAAAGAGAGGCCTGGTAATTCAGGCGTGGTTTTCTAGGTTAAAGACCAGTAGTTTTCAGTAAAGACAAGAATGTGAACCAAGTCCCCAAAATCCTAGTCCATCACTGACCACTACACTACTTCGACTGCAGCACACAGACTCTCAGGGACAGATACTGGCTGGGATGTTTCATCTTTAATGACCTTTCAAACCTTCTGTTTGCTGCTACAGAGGTTACAAATCCATCCAGCATCCAAACCGCCGCCACTGAAGTAACTGAAAAGCTGCAAGGAGCCGGGCTGAATCTCCTGATCAACAATGCTGCGATTATAAGGCCAAGCACTCTCGAATCGGAGACAGCAGAGGACATGTTTGAGGTTTACAAAAACAACACAATAGGGCCCATGCTGGTGACCCAGGTAAGGACAGCAATGTCTTGCATTTCACAGCCCTCAACACCTGCAGTTCGGTGGCTTGATCACAAGCGCTGCCCTTTGTTTTATAGTCTTCTGCCCAACAGCTAGCTGACAAACAGAAATTAAAGTAGTGTGCAGGAGAAAAGAGCACATGTCCGGTAGCACCTTAATGACTCACAAAATTTTTGGCAGGGTATGAGCTTTCGTGAGTCATCGCTCACTTCTTCAGTAGTGTTCAGCTTTTCGTTTTTGGATGGTGACATGAGTTACATCTATTGAAACAAGACTGCAAGTATCTCACTTTGGAGACTTTTTTAAAAAATGAAACCTGCGATTTCAGAGGAGCTAGCAGATTGTGGCAATACATGGTTACAACATTATGCTATAGCAATCTAGCAATTACTGGGGGGTTTTAAGCCTGAGAAAAAGCACTTCAGTGGCAGGGGTGGTAGTGCTCGGGAAATGGCTGCTGACACAGAAAACTGCAGCCATACTTTCCATGGGGATGTTCCATTGCCGGTGAGAACGCCTCTGCACTCACAGTGGTCGTGACAGGGAGAATCTTGGCCCTGTGGATGCAGCCCAAGAACGGAGGGGATCAGATTTCTGTTGTAGGCAATAGAAATGTACTACAGCACGATCTAAATCAGAAGTCCCCTGTAGTGTATTCCAAAAAGGGTTACGGAATCGTCTCATTGACTCTCCATGTTAAAGCTTCGAGCCAGAGGAAGGTTCCTCCGAGCTAACAGCCTATTGGTTGCTCCACAACCATGGCCTATCAGAACTATGCCTATTCCCTGCGAGAGAAGAACTCTCATTGGTTGTTATCTACATAACCTCATTGGTTGTTTATTGTAAATAGGCGTGGCTACATTAGCCTGGGAGTGTTTAAAAGGAGCCTAGCTCCCGTTTGTTGTTCTGTTCTGGTTATGACTTATTTAAGCACTTGTTCGTATCTACAATAAAGCTGATTACTATTGCTGAAATCACTCTCCTGCAATTTGTTAGTGGCGATCTAACATCCCCAACCTTTTGAATCTGCAGATGCCTCTGAAATTCTGAAAGAACATGGTGGGCAGAACCACATGATGTCTGCTGCGGGAGGTGGAGCCAAACACAACATGCCAGGGAGTGAGGTTAATGCATGACTCGTATAGTATGATTTGAGTCCAGTAGCACTTTGAGGCCCACAAGACTTTCAGGGTATGAGCTTTTGAGAGTCAAAGTTCCCTTGGGGAGCCTGTTGGTCTCCCCGGTGCTCCTGGACTTTAAGCTGGCTGTTGTACTGCAGACCAACACGGCTTCCCCTCTGAAACTACTGAATGCTATGGCAATTCTTCAACAATTAAGACAGGAGCTCTATTCAACACAGGGTGCCTTTTAATCTGCACAGTGAATCAGACCTCCAGTAGCCAACCAGAAGCCTTGCTGGGCAAATGCCCCTCCCCCAGCTTCTCAAAAACACTTGGCAGCAGGGCTCTACTGGTAGCAGGAGCTCCTTTGCGTATTAGGCCACACCCCCTAGTGTAGCCAATCCTCCAAGAGCTTACAGTAGCCCCAGTAAGCAGAGCTCTGTAAGCTCTTGGAGGATTGGCTTCACTAGGGGTGTGTGGCCTAATATGCAAAGGAGCTCCTGCTACCAGTAGAGCCCCGCTGGCAGGCACCAGGAAATATGCTGGCACCCACTGTGGTGCCCATGGGCACCATGTTGGTGACCCCCTGATTTAAAGCATGACAACTGATGTCAATCAGGACATTAACTAACATTGACAGCTTGCGCTAGAATGGAAAGACGTGAGAAAAGTTGGTCTCCTGTACTGCAATAGAGATGGAAAGGGAAATAGATAGTCTGTTTACAGTACGTATCTATCGTATACAGAGGTCATTTCGGGGGGGAACGTGGGGGAACGCAGGGGGCGGGGCACAAGATGAAGCCCCGCCCCCTGCTTCCGGCCGCCCCGCTTCCAGCCCTCATTCAGCCAGGAGGAGGCAGGAGAAGAGAGAGGGTAAGTTGCTTCCTCCCCACCTCTCCCCACCCCTACCTGCCTGGGGCCAGGGAGGGCCTTGGCGGGGCTTCCTCGCACTCCTGCTGGCCTTGCAGGTCCACCGCCGGGCCCCTGATGTCAGGGGGTGTGGCATATGCTAATGAGTTATGCTAATGAGTTCCCCTAGCTCTTTTTCTACGAAATGACCCCTGATCGTATATATATTATACTGGTCTGCAAACCTGTATGCATTTCTATATATTTTGCAATTTAAAAAGCAGAGAAACAACTAAATCAGGAAGGGAAACAAACAAAACAAACTGAAATATGCCCATGTTCTGTCTGCATCCCTACTGGGGAAGAGCTGTCTGGGCCTCCTCGCCAATCAGCTGTGTTCCTGTCTCTCTCCTTCTCCAGACATTCCTGCCCTTGCTGAGGAAGGCGTCTCAAGAAAGCCCCCAGAAAGGGATGAGTTGTAGCAAAGCTGCCATTGTCAACGTGTCCAGTGAAGGAGGCTCCATCGCTAATGTCTACGCATGGGATCTTGGGCATTTCATTAATTACCGCTGTAGTAAGGTAGGCCCATAACGGCAGCAATGGCCCGGTATATAAGTACAAGAAGAGAGTAGAAGCCATGAAAAGCCGTGTTCAGAGCCAGCCACAGCTCAAATAAATAAAATCTATGCCCAGGGAGAACATGAAAGAACGTTACTTAGATCCTTAGGAAATACAGTTGCCAGCAACTGGGGCTGGGAGGATCAAGGGGCAGAGACTTATGCGTCTGGCATCATGCTGACCCCATTGTAGTATGAATGGGAATATAAAGATTTTTATGGTCCCTGCCACACGGCAGGGGGAAAAGCGCCCAGAGCGCGGCTTTTAAAAGCCGCACCGAATTAGAGACGCCGCGGCGGGATCCCATGGATCCCCTGATGCCGGGGAGAAAGAGACGGTGGGAAGGGGAGGCTGGTGAACTGCACATGCTCACACAGTTCGGCCAGGAGCCGGGGATGCGTAGTTCGGCCAGGAGCCGGGGATGCACCGGCACAAGGACGTGCCGGCGATCCCACAGCCGGGCTTGAGGCGCTCTTCTCTGAAGAACCACCTAGATAGGTGGTTCTTTTTTGGTGTGGGGTTTTGGGTGGGAGGGACGGATCGGGGACGGACAGGCAACGATTCCCAGATGTTGCCGTGGAATCACGCCCGTTTGCTCCGCCCCCGAACCATCCCTCTCCCGGCCCAAATCCACTCGTGTGACCGAGGCCAATATATAGGTTTTTTTCTTCTTGATTGTTCATATTCATATTTCTCTGGTTTTTATAGATTTATTCTTTAAGTAATATTTTATTAGGATGTTAGAAAGGCCTGTTATATAGAAGGCTTTCCTCTTGTAGGTCTGATATTGTTAGCAGACAACATAATAGGTACAAAGTTCAATGATTCTGTAGTTCTTAGGGCAAGCCTTTCAATGTCTGGGTCAGATAAGATTTTAGTCTCATATGTAGAATCGTTGCCCATTATCATTTAGGTTAGGTTAAGTAAACACTTAGTTTGACGTAGATATATGTTTCTTTATATCTGGCCAATCAGAGGATTATTACTCAAATTACCACTGTCTTTTGTAACCAATTATGCTGTCTGAATATTGTTTTCTCGATGATGTCAGTCCATGTATAAAATATCGTGTATTTCCTGAATATGTTCAGAATATGTTCAAGGAGAAGATGAAGAAGAAAAAGAAGAAAGTTGTCAATTTTGGACGGACTATTTGGTCTAATTGTTTTTCTGTTAACTGAAGCATATTTCCTGAATATGCTGAGAAGAAAGTAGTCAATTTTGGATGGAGTATTTGGTCCAATTTTTTTTTTGTTAATTGAAATAAAACATAGATCTTCCTCCTCATTTGACTTCATTTTTGACATGGAATCTAATATGTACAACACCATTATGTCACTTCTGGAGTGGCATGAAGTGGCATCATCATGCTATGGCAACACTGCAGCATTCCCCCAGAACTCTATTGTTTAACCTGGTGTCCCTATCAAGAAACCTTAATATATCTAAAACCTCAAATCAAACAGTATTTTCTGGATCAGTGATTCTCATTCAGTGGCTCGGAAGCCACCTGTGGCTCTCTGACATTCCACATGTGGTTCCTTTGACTACTGCTCCCCAATGTGACAGCTACCCGTGTTTCAGGGAAGTGTGCAAGGCCCTTGCCTGATGGGGGGAGGTGGTTGGCAGGTGGTTTCCACCTTGAAACAGCCAATGCTGTAGGAATGGATAACCAGTGAGCCTAGTTGGGATGTAAGCCACCTGGCAAGGATGGAAGTAAATGTGGCTCTTTTGGCTGATGGTCATGGCGAATGAGACTCTCCTTGAGCTACAGAGTGACCACCATCTACAAAACATATCTTTGACTTGCTGTCGTTCCATGGAACTGAATGCTTCTTTCTCCTTGCTTTTGGCATAGGCTGCTCTGAACATGCTCACTCGGTGCCAGTCGCTGGGATATGCAGAAGATGAGATCCTGTGCGTTGCATTGCACCCTGGATGGGTGCAAACGAACATGGGAGGACCAGAGGTAGGTGATTCCTGGGGTGAATTTCATCATCGCTCATGGACAATCCCAGATCAACTTCAGTATTCAGTGTCTACACCTAAATAAGGCTCCAGTTGTTTATTAACTTTTTATATTTCGAAGATATTTCAGGCATCCTCACTAAAACTAAGAACTCCCTCCTTGGATCAGACTACACATGATCTCTTGTCCCACACTCGAGCCAAAATCCAACGTAGTGTCAGAGGTGCTTCCATTTTTTCCTGAACTCTGTGCTGGATTGTGACTGGAATTTCAGCAGTTGCCAACTCTGGATTTGGAAATTCTTGGAGATCTGGGGGTGGATCCTGGGGAAGGCAGGGTTTGGGGAGGGGAGGTGTAGACTTTGAGGGTTCAATAACGACACAACACAACAGATTTCTTGAAGCTTACTGACCAGGCTCTCTGTTAGCTCTCTCTCTCTCTGTACCAAAACTGTTTTCTGACAGGCTGTCAGCAGTGCTTTATTCAGAGCAGGCTCACACACATTTCTCCCCCCTTTCCTGTCCAGTGAAGATGTTACAAACAGTAAAAAGACTCTAAGCTAGAAATCACAGTGTGTTTCACAGAATGTTCTTTCTCATAGCTTATATTATCTTGCTCGAATATTGCAAAGTTTGTGCTCTCAGTAATTCAGCAGACTCATGCAGAATCAATCAGAAGACCTTGTGCATTTGCCAATCTCCCGGTGAGAACATGAGAACTCCCGGGCTTGCCTCACGGGAGTCTTTCATTCTCACAGGGAGGGACCTCAGCCGGGTGCAATGCAAAGGAGTCCTCCCTCCAAAGCAGCCGTTTTCTCCTGGGGAACTAATCTCCGGCATCTTGAAAGGAGCTGTAATTATGGGAGGTCTCCAGGCCCCACCTGGAGGTTGGCAACCCTAGCTCAGGATTGTCCTGTTAAATTTCTTACCAACATTCACTCACCCGATGGGAGGCCCTTTTTCCTTTTTACTGTATTTACTCGCTTACTTTCACTGGACGGTTGGTCCCCCTTACTAATTTATCATTCTTTTATGCACAGCGCAAGTCTTTATGTACTCTCTCTTTTCAAACGGGCAGGCCCCCTTGGCAGCAGATGCAAGCGCGGGAGCCATCCTGAACACCCTTGGCCATCTTTCTGAGAAAGACAACAGCACTTTTGTGAACTGGGAGGGGGCAGGCGTGCCTTGGTGACAAGACAGGGCAAGAAAAAATGCCAGACTTCCTTTACTTCCTACAGGAGAGGAATGTGGCCGCAGGAGGCAAGGTGCTTTACCTATTCCTTCATCTTTTCCTATCATGTTCTTGTAATTTAAAACTAATGATTGCCACTCTGTTTAACAGCACTATCTATTAAAAGGTTGGACTTAGTCCTTGCATTTCTACTGAGTTGGACTCCTGGCCTGATTTACAACAATAGTGCAAAGATAAAAACCTCACAGATGTTGTACATAATATACAATGAAGGCTTTTCTGCCCGGTTTATTCATTCTGCTGTGAAGTTTATGAAATTATGCATTGAACTGGAAAGAGTTTATTATGAAAAGGTCTCGTGATGTTTGGATTCAGAACTGAGACTGTTGTTTGATAAAGAGAGTTCGAAACGAACGATTAGCTCTGGGGAAGTTCGTCTTTCTTCAATGACTGTCTGTTGACGTCCTTCTATGAAAAGAATAAACACCATGAAGTGACTATATATTATGTACAACATCTGTGAGGTTTTTATCTTTGCACTGTTGCAGTAATTCTTTTGTATCCTGATATTGTCATACTGCTGCCCCTTGTTTTTTGCTGATTTACAACAAATCAGTTTTTTTTATTGACAAAAGGCAGGTTGGTCATGGAAAAGGCACTAGCGGCTGAAATATGTTTTTACAAGCTGTCATGGGATAGATTGTTCCAAGGAGACTTGGCTATTTTATCTTTAACTATGCTGCGCACACGGATTTTGTTGCAACTGTACTTGTAAGTATGTTCAAGACAATTAAAAAATAATTAATTATTCAACCTGCTAGAAGAAGTAAAAGCCCATAACCCTTTAAATATTATGACATTTGTTATGGTATGAGTTTTGGGACATAAGACATCTTTAGAAATAGTGAATGCCGTAGTTCTTGGGTCTTGCGTACTCATTTGTTAGCTGTGAATAGAGACTAGATGCAGCAGGAAAGCACATGTTTGCACGAATCGCTGGCATTTCCAGTGAAAACAGATCTTAGGTACCAGATGTTGGGAAAAATCTTATTTCTGTTCTGCTGCCAATATAAGTAAACAATAGTGTGTGAGAGAGATCACTGGTTTGTCGTGTTATAAGGGTTGCATTGCCAACTCCAGCTTGGGATATTCCTGGAGATTTGGGGGTGGTGCTTGGAGAAGAGCAGTGTTTGGGGAGGGGAGGTGGCTCAGTGGGGAGGTAATGTCACTCTAGGATTAATGCTTCTCCTAAACTCCATGGTATACCATACAGCCCACCCTCTGAAGCTGCCATTTCCTCCAGGGGAACATCTTTCTGTAGCCTGGAGATCAGTTGTAATTCCTGGAGACCTCCACCCCCCACCTTGAGGTTGGCAACCCTAAGCATCATCTGTTCACATGTTCAGTTTTGACTGGATTTTGCCCATTTTCTTTGTTGCTATAAAATAGATTATACCATAAATAGATTCAAACAAAATCTTACTGCAAGGCTGGGGAGTCACAGCATGAATTTACCTGGAGGATCTCCCTTCCTGCTTCCACTGGTGTATCTTAGCCCAAGCTCCAGTTTTACAAATCTCAGTGTTTATAATGAAGATGGAGCTGCGGTGGCTCAAGTGGTTAAGACGCTGAACTGCAGGCTATGGAAGGTCGGTAGTTCAGCAGTTCAAGACCCGAGTGTACCGCATGACGGAGTGAGCTCCCGTCTCTAGTTCCAGCTCCTGCCAACCTAGCAGTTTGAAATCAAGAAATTGCAAGTAGATAAATAGGTACCACTTCAGTGGGAAGGTAACAGTGTTCCGTGCGTCTCGGTGTTTAGTCACGCCGGCCACATGACCACAGAAACGTCTTCAGACAGTGCTGGCTCTTCGGCTTTGAAACGGAGATGAGCACCGCAACCCTAGAGTCGGATTCGACTGGCTTTCGAGCAAGGGAACCTTTACCTTTACTATACTGAAGATACATAAATACAGAGGAGTTATTTCTTGCCTGCCTTTCTGTGCTCACATGCAAGAAAGGGGAAGCAGCCAAAGGTGAGACGTACCTCCCCCTCGTGCTGTTTCCATGCAGGAAAATGTCTTGGGTGGGAAAGCAGGAGCCCGTCCTTCCCCAGCAGCAGCATTCTGAGCCTATTTGGACTATCCTCTATCTAATCATTCTCCACATCTGTCGATGGCTGAGGGCAAGCCAACTTAGCTGGAGAGAGAAGAACCTCACAAAGGCTCAATGAGAGCACATGCCAACTTTTGGATATGTCTGTTTTCAGCTGTGGCTCTTGTGCCAGCATCTTGCAGTGGACAGCTGGGATAGATTCAGTATTTCTGAGAACTCAATATGAAGCTGCTGCAGGCAGCAGCTGGAAAAGCTCTCTAATGGCTGCCATTCTCCCAGATGAAGAGTTAAGAGTCCGCACACTTAACCACTACACCAAACTGGCTTGTAAAACTTGTAAAAGCAGGAGATCTCCAGGCCCCACCTGTAGGCTAGCAACCCTAGCAGCTCCTTGTATTTTGGGTGAGATGGGATTTGACCTCTGCTCTGAGAGCCAGTTTGGTGTAGTGGTTAACTGCGCAGACTCTAATCTGGGATAATCGGGTTTGATTCCCCACTCCCCCACTTGCACCTGCTGGATGACCTTGGGCAAGCCATAGTTCTGGCACAGCTGTTCTTGAAAAAGAGCAGTTTCTGTCAGAGCTCTCTCAGCCCCACCTACCTCACAGGGTGTCTGTTGTGGGGAGGGGGAAGGGGAAGGAGTTTGTAAACTGCTCTGAGACTTCTTTGGGTAGTGAAGGGCGGGGTATAAATCCAATCTCCTCCTCCTCCTCCTCCTCCTCTTCTTCTTCTGTACAATGAGCTACCATGCTAACATTTCCAGGTTACCCTTGAGTACAAATTATGCAAGAACACGTGTATTTTGTTCTTCATGGACATGCAAGGGTCATGACACTCTGCCAGTGCAGCTTGCAAAGGCACCCATATATGAGTGGGTGAGCCCATTCACCTGGCTTGCTCCCAATGCAAGCTCTTCCTGTCCTGGTGTGCATGGCTGGTTTCAGCATCATGGCTGCTGGGGTATTTGTAATACCATATGCTGTGTCTGTCAGAACTGTGTGGTTAGGGGAATACTCCTGGCTGTGTGGGGTGTGTGTTCTAGTCCTGCCTCTTCCTTTGTATCTGGCTGAAAGGTGAGTTTGACAAACAAAGGGGAAATAATGTCTGCAACTAATCCAAACCAAAGAAAGAAACAAAACAAAAGCTGAGGAAGAATCTCAACAGAAAATGCAACAAACCATAAAAAGACAATCGGCTAGTTAAGAAACATTGAGGATTCTAAACTTTTGTCATAAAACATAATGTGTATATTACAATCTGGCCATATGTTTTTTTCCAAATATAACAGTGATGAAACTTATGACATGTTAACGTAATCAGGATACTAAAATTCAAACGTCTTTTTAAACAAAAGATCTTCATGTGTGATATCAGTGTACGTTGCAAGAATATGTAAATTCCAAATTTAAAAAAACACACACAGTCCAACTGTCCAAAAGGCTGTGAGCTACAAGCATAATAGCATTGTGAAATACCAACTTGAAGCTCTTTTAAAAACCACAAATGGACCACATCCAGCAATAGATTCATTAAAAGCATGTAAAAGCCAGCAAATTGCAGAACAATATAATGTCTATTAAAAATAAAAGTCTTATAACATTATAAAAAATTGTATTTCCAGAGGTTCAAACAGGGAGGAAGGAATTCACTTGGGAGCACTTTCAGGCAAGAACAAAACCCAAACATATACTAAAAGTTATGATTTACTTTAGCCAAGATTTTGAGCAAACTATAACACTTTTTTAGGACAATTCGGACCTTGACAGACCTGCCTCAGAGCAGGCAAAATGTTAGGGAATTGGATAATGGCTGTGAGGCTTTTGTGAGCTTTTTCGCAGATAAAGTCTTGGCACTTCGCCGCGACCTCCCCGCCACAATTGAGACAGTGAGCGAACTCGAGGCCCCTTGCATGTCTTCGGTACCAGGTTTAGAGTGTTTCAATCCGCTCAGTCTGGACGAAGTTGACAGACTGCTAGTATCTGTATGCCCAACCACATGTGACCTTAATCCGTGCCCCTCCCGGCTCATTAAAGCGGGACACGAGGGGTTACAAGGCACACTACGAGAAATTATCAACAAGTCCTCTCGGAGGGACAGTTCCCGAGTGTGCTCAAGGAGGCGATGGTCCGCCCTCTTTTCAAAAACCATCTTTGGATCCGGCCGAATTGGCTAACTATCGGCCGGTGTCCAATTTGCCCTATTTGGGCAAATTGATTGAGAGGGCGGTGGCACTACAGCTACAGAGCTTTCTGGAGGACGCTTCAGTCTTAGATCCCTTCCAGTCTGGTTTTCGCCCTGGTCATGGGACTGAGACGGCTTTGGTCGCCCTGTCTGACGATCTCCGACGGCATCTGGATCGAGGAGGTGTGGCGGCACTGCTGTTGTTAGATCTGTCGGCCACGTTCGATACGGTCAACCATCAGCTGCTGACCCACTGCCTCACCGACATGGGGATTCAGGGGCTTGCCCTTCGATGGTTTGCCTCTTTCCTACAAAGTCGGGGACAAAGGGTGGCGGTCGGGGACCGGCGTTCCCATAGGTACCCCCTTGATTGTGGGGTCCCCCAGGGTGCGGTGTTGTCCCCGATGCTATTTAACATTTATATGCGCCCCCTTGCCCAGATTCCCCAGAGCTATGGGCTTGGGTATCATCAGTATGCAGATGACACCCAGCTCTATCTGATGCTGGGTGGCTGGTCGGACTCCAGTCCTGATGACCTTCTCCGGGGACTGGAGGCCATGGCTGGTTGGCTCCGGCTGAGCCGATTGAGACTAAACCCGGCGAAGACAGAGGTCCTGGGCCTGAGCCGGACCAGTGCGGGGTTAGGACTCCCGCTCCCGACCTTCGACGGGGTGCCTTTGGTACCAACATCTAGGGTTAGGAGTCTG